AGCCAACATGAGTGAAAACAATTCTGCAAATTCAACACACTGAACAGACGACTTTCGACGTAACTGCTTGGAAAATGGAAGCCCTAGTGGTTCTCACCAGGGCCACAAAAATCAGAGAACAAAAAAAGTCCTCTCCTTCCACCTTCACACGTTACAAATGAGAAAACGATCACGGTGCAAAGGAAATAAACAGAAAATACCACTTGACACCAATTCATAGCATTTATTGACAGTTCCATTTAAAATGCCAGGAAAAGCCGTATAAATTGTAAACATGGAAACCAAACACTTGCATAAATTATTTCATAAAAACTACAGCACATTAGAAAACACTGCAGCTAATTGGAGGGTAGAAACGTTAACTAACAGAGGGAGGATTCGATTCCTAAAATCACACGCCTATTCCAAAATTCAAGTGCCAGCAAACCATGATTGTCGAGTTCAAGTTGTAGGGCTGATGATGCCACGAGTGGCCTCAATTCACTCTGTGTATTTTCATACATGAACACTCATGCTCTCGGGATGAGAGTGCGGAAAGAGTCAGAAGAATATGGACCTCGCCAGAGGAGGAGGAGACAAGTGGGCATCCCAGGGCAGCTCTCCGAAGCAACCTTTCCCGTGAGGGGAAGGCCAGTCACCCCTCCACGCTCCCGATGACACTCTGGAGGGAAGCAGAGCTGAGTCTCCTCCCCTTTGCTGCAATGAGCCCTCTGAGCTCGGAGCAACCGAGTTCATCGGTGGAGCTTCTTTCCCTCTAGCACCTCCTTCTTCCCCATCTGTAGGAAAGTATAGGGGGTCTGTCTTGAAGTTGGCCTTGGACTATTCCTGACTTGCACTGGTTAAGAGTCAAGTGATGAGTGTGTGAAGTCTGGTGGGCCTGACGCCTCCAGTTCCTCCAGAATGGCCCCACAGAACCAAGAAAGACAAGACCCAAGTTGCTTACATCGTTACCTCTGTCCCTTCACCCTTGACGTTAAATTCCAAGTGGCCCCAGAGCGGAAAATCCTGGGAGGAGGAAAAGCAAGCCTCCTGCATGATTATCTGGCCTGTGGGAAACTAATCTGGGCCCCAGTTCCTCAGATTCAGACATGCATTCCTTCTCACTTGCTCCCCGAGCTCCTAACGTCGTTTCACGTTTCGAGGGGCATTTAAACCTTCTTTTCCTAAATGTCAAGGCTGCTGCACGTTCTTAACTAAATTCTCACGTGTACCATTACACCCATGAGCACGGAATTAGGATCGTACCGTGAGGCTTCGTTTTTCAAGTCTTTTTAATACAAAGGAGTCCTCGTTTAAACACGGAAAATCACCTCCCAAAAATATCAAGAGACACCTGAAATGTACACAAGTCTTCGTTCACTCCGTATTAAGTGAACCTATTAAATTTTATGTTATAGCAGCTGCTCACAGAAACCCCTCTCACCTGTGACAAGAATATCTGTTAATGTGTGGGATTAAATGTAAAAAAATGAAGTTAAAGTTACCATCCCATAAGAAATGGGCTTTGTGATAGGTGGTCTGCTTGCAGGTATAGAAGTGGCCTTGTGCTCCCGTCTGGGGTAAATGCGGACTAGCAGGCTGTGGAGGCTGGCTTTGGAGACTTGCTCTGGAGGTAGAAATGAAATGGCTAAAACTCAGCTAGAGCTAAAGTCGGTGTGGTAGTTAAGACTGGAGGCCCCCATCCCGCTGCCCGGAACCTTAACCAGCTTTCCTTCCAACCAACAAACTCATTCCTGCCTACTAGCAAGAATCTAGTTTGAAGGGGACAAAGAACTTTAATGATTAACTGGCGAGTTACTGCAAATGCCAATCAGTGTCCGATTGGTGTGGTCACTGGAGCACTAAGCGGCTGGACGATGCAGTCAGCGCTGACCTGTCCACAGGCAAAGGGGACTCGTAAAGCTCAGAGCACCAGGTCCCACCCAGAGCCTTCGGCCAGACCTTCGCTGCGTTTTGCACCACAGGCCTCCTGCCCGGAGTCTGGTTGGCAAAAAACCCAAGTAGCCTGCTGCTCAAAAGCCCCATGCCATCAAAATAAAAAAACACTCTGAAATGAAATAGCATTTGGAGAAAAACATGTAGGTGGCTGTCAAAAAGTCAAATGTATGTATTTATAACCCACCATGCTTCACAAAGGATTGAATGTGGCCCAGCAACTGGCCACTGAGATCTGCCCCAAGCAGTGGAGCCGATGGTGGAATTCTTTTTTTAAAATATATTTTATTGATTTTTTTTTTTTTTACAGAGAGGAAGGGCGAGGGATAGTGAATTAGAAACATCGATGAGAGATAAACATCGACTAGTTGCCTCCTGCACACCCCCCACTAGTGATGTGCCCACAACCAAGGTACATGCTCTTTACCGGAATCGAACCCAGAACCTTTCAGTCCACAGACCAACACTCTATCCACTGAGCAAAACCGGTTTCGGCACAGATGGTGGAATTCTTACCACCACTTCCATGCTTGACCTTGGGTCCTTCGGCAGATCCTGGTGTGCTCCCCTCCTCTCCAGAACGGTCTCTTCCTCTGTAGACCTTCTTCCCAGGCCTGATCATTCCCTCATTGTATTAGTCCAAGCATGGACTCACAACACCCCTTCCTCCTCTTACAAAACTCCCTGGACAGTGGGGTTGGGAATTCTGTCCCCGTGTTGTAGCAGATCAAGTTCATTTTCAATGACAGCTGCACCCACTCTTTCCACTGTTCCCCTGGCCCACTCTCAGCTTTCCCGGGCCTCCTCGCCCTTCCCGTGGGCAGCTCCATCTTCACTTGGGTCGCTGCTGAAGGTGACTTCTCCCCACGATCCGTTTCCAAATACACAACTTCTTCAGCTGAGGACCTAATGCACTTGTGCACTCTCAACAAACGTTACTGGTGCCTATACCATTTTATGTGTATCTTCCATCTTTTAAACCTACTGGCATATATGTTATCCGACTTAGATTCTAAGACCTGAGAAGGCAGGGTCCATGTTTGACAGAAAGTCAGGAGCATGAAAGATGTGTCGTCAATGCTGTTTACAAGTTAACGGCGAAGGAAGTGATTTGAAAGCAAAACGAGAGAGAGGAAGAGTCACACGAGGCCTTTAGCCGTCCTCTGGGTAGCTCCATGTGAACGCACTCACTGGCCGGTCACCGCACATCAGACCCTCCATCCCAGCATCATACAGACAGCGTTTCCCATGTCCCAGTGCTTTGTGCTTCCTTCTCAAGGTCCCATATGACGCTCACAGTGAGAAATCCTACGACGTGGGCACAGGAGGTCTGTCCTTGTTTGGCTGAGGGGGGAGAATGAGGCTCAGAAAAGGGACCTGACACAGAGACTTCACTGATCATTTCTCCAAATTTATAGTTCGTTTTATTACCACTGGAACTTTGAAAACAGGGGAAAAGGAGAGACATACATGTTAACTTTTCATTTCAGAGTGCTTCAAATAAACGCGCTCCACGGCACACACGAGGGACACGAGGACCTTCCTTTCCGGCAGATCACAGTGGCTGGGTGACTGCAGACCCGTGTGGGGGTGGTGCTCCCACCACAGCTAGTCTGTCCTGAGTCTGGGAGTTGGTAAAACTCCTGTGGCAGCTGTTTAGAGAAAACAGGGGCAACCTGGGTGTACTTCCCAGCCAAAAGCAGAGTGCTGGTGATCTCACCGGCCTGCTCGGACCACTCCCCTCCACACCCCTCTACTCCCCCATCCCCGATATTCTACATCCTCTTTGGTCTTGACATGGGTTTCACTTCTAAGTATAACAATGCAGATCGCATCCTTTGATGCTAGTTTGAAAGGATTCAATCGCCATGGCAGCCCCCTTTAGACAGGGGCCCGGTTCTCCAATGTCCAAAGGAGGGAACCACGTTTAGTGCCGGCCACACGGGGAGGAGGGAAGGAGAGGGGCCTGCGTTTCGTCCACCGGCTGCCACACGACACGACTTCCCTGTGAGGCGTCCGTCATACACTTCTGCTGGGACGTCTGGCATTCTCAGTACCGTGTTCAGGAAACCTGGCGTTTCTCAGCGGCACACACGGAGATCCCTCCACTCTGAGTGTTAACCCAAGACCGAGGGCCAGCAACCAGGCCCAGGAGGAGGCCCTCTCCCCCACGCTCCTGGAGCTCGCGAGGGCTGCCTGAAAAGGAGTCCCCGTCCTTTCCTTCACATCCTGAGAGACCACTCTCCAGCCCTCCTCTCTGAGAAGCACACAGATCAGGAGTGGCTGCCCTGCCCTGCCCTGTGAGGCGGAGGGCAGAGCTGAAACGTGGCTCTGGAATAACGATGTCCCTGCAGAAACCTACGTCAGTGGGGTCGGAGATCTTAAGGAGTGACACGGGTTTTGATTAGAGCCCCTAATTCTGCCTGTTTATCTGTTGTTTAAAGGATTAGCTGATCTAATAAAAAATTAAAAAAAAAAAAAGGACTCACAGTAGCAATGTGTTACCTGTTTTTCTTCTGAGCTTCGCTCAGGTACCAGAAAACCAAACAGCCCTTGTCATTCCAGTCTCTCGCTTTAATAGGGGGTGGGGGGAGGGGCGGGGGAAGGAATGGTGACTTCAGGAGTGAACCTCTGCCAGGCCCACAGCACCCGGACGCCTCCAGCAGTCACGCAGCAGAGTCAGGCACAATGAGATCAGCCGTGAGGAGCAGCCCTCTCCCTTCCCTTGTCCCCAAGGCTCCTCTTCCCGCCTCCCGGTGCAGAGGCTGGCGGGAACTCAGCCTCCTCTCTGGGTCTTGAACACACAGAGAATGTGATCACTAGGAACGGATTCGCAGATCGCCATGTGGTGGCCCTGGGAATGCTTCCACATCATTGTGGCTTATGTACCTTTTCACATTCAAACATAATTTGTGAGCAACTCATGGGCAAAGCGCCAGGACTGGCGGGGACCTCCGGAGAGCCTCATTCCGTGGGGCTGGCCTTGAAGAGGACACGTGCTGACGTGGGATGCTCTCGGGAGCCCCACAGGCCCCACGAAAAACCAGCAAATACAACTAAGAATGTAAATCTAAACTCTGATATGTATTTTGAATAATAACCAAATAAATATTTAGCTTTCCCCCTCTTTTGGGAGTGGCGGGGTGTATTTTCCCCCCTTTCTAGAACAAACTGAAGCCTTCAACACATTCTCCCATCGGAAAAGCCAGAGCTGCATTTCACAGACAGGAAGGGGGAGGGCGCTTGGAGCGGTAGCACCAGAAGTAGGAGGGGAAGTGCAGGTCATGGCTTCGTGTGGAATCATCAGGCTCTAACATCTACCACTGGTTTCTCACGAGTAGCTTTTTCAGTCTTAGCCTCCTTGTTGTTAATAGTACTAGTAACACGAAAGTTCCTACGGAGACAAAGAGGAAAAATAAGCTGTTAATAAAAACGTCTTCCAATCTCTTTTCTCAGAAAACAAAGTGGCAGGCCCGCCCAATAAACCAGCCTCCAACACGTCTTCGCTCAGAAACGCTGGACTCCTCCCGGCCCTATACGTTCTATACGTTTTCACCGTTTGCCTTGAGGAAGGGGGACTAACTAAGAAACTCCGTTAGCTCAGGTGTGTGGTTTGTCTTTCGTGAAGTGCTGCCGGCTTGTGGCCAAACGTCCAGAAACCCCCGACGGAACCCAAATGGTCACCACACCGCCACCTCGGTAACAGCCTCGCGAGCTGTCGCGTGTCCTGTGGCATCTGGCATCTTCTCGGATTGCAGCTCGCTCCCTCCCTCGGCCCCCAGCCCCGGAGGCGCCGGCCCTCTTCCTGGCACGGCCGCTCTCCTTCGAGTCTGCTCTCCTTCGAGTCTTGCTTCCACGGGAAGCGGATACTTGGCAAAACGCAAGGCGAGGCCCATCAGCTGTGGAAGCTGTGCACGGCGGTCTGTTTCTGGGAGAGCCGCAGCAGCTCCTCACGGATGGCCTTGATGAGCGAGGTGGAGGAGTGGCCGGGCTGGAGGTCCTCCGTGGAGCTGGCGGCGTAGGCCAGCCCGGCGCCCTGCAGCGCCCGGGGCGGGGCGCTCCCGGGCGGAGCGGAGGGCTCCCGGCCTGAAGTCCTTGGCACCTGGAACAGCGGCGAAGAGTACTCCTGATGGCCGAGCACGTGCGTCTGAAAAACACAGCGGACGGCACCGGTTTTCTTCCCCCGTGGGAACAGGAGGGAAAACCAAATTCCCGGGCCCCGGACTTCCTCCTCCCACCTCCCAGCCACCAGCGCGGCCCTCCGACAGGTCCCCCCGGGGCTGAGAGGGAGAGTGATAACGGTGGCAAAGTTGGTCAGCGGAGAGCAGTGCAGTCAAGACTAGAACTTAACAGGTGCCTCACCAATGGTGGGAAGGACGATGAAGCCAGCCAAATCTCCTGCCTGCGTGTGTGGAGGTCAGTGGCCGCTGGGGGCAGAGAGAGGAAGGGGGCTGGCAAGGAAGGGAGGTCATATGAGGTCACCTGAGAGTTGGAAGGGGTAAGCAGGCACTGGCAGAGGGACTAACAAAAAGCACAAGTGCCTTTGTCCTGGGATGTGTATTAAAAGATCACAGAATCACTTTCCCTTTTATCTGCCTGTCTCAGCCTGTCTGTCTGTCCAGCACCCTGTAGAGCTTTTCCTTTAAAACATTATCTGCACTGAAACGTAAGAGTTTTGCTTATATTCCCATAATACAGTGTGGGGCAAACGTAGGTTTACAGTTGCTCCTATTGGAAACAATTCAATAATTAAAAAATAGTAACACAAGAATAAACTCTGTTTCTTGTACTCATAACTGTAAACCTACGTTTGCCCCACCCTGTATAACGGGGTATTCGTTTGACAAGAATTATTATACATTTCAGTGAAAAATCTCTCTGCATAACACGAATTCTGAATCCATGGTTTCGCCTATGTTAAGAGTAAGCTGATAGCATCACTCTTACATTTCACTTTTCCAAACAGGGAAGGGAGACACACTAAGGGACCACTGGCTTGGGCAGGCAAACCCAAATGCCTAATGAAACCAAGTTGGCACACTGAAGGCAAAAAAAGAAAGATGTCAGCAAATACCTGAGATTTACAACAACGTAGGTATCTTTTAGGGAAAATTATATCCTGCCACTAATTTCCTTTCATTAAGTAAAAGCACCCCGTCATTGAAGGAAGTTAGTGTATTTGCTAAAAAGACACGTGAATACAATGGAAGCTGTGGCATATGATGAGGATAAACAGAACGTATTAATTTGGTTTGTATTTTCAAATTCATAGATGTATCCCCCATGGATGTGAAATGCTTGAGAAAAAAAGCAAAGGAAAGCATCTATAGACAGCACCTGTGTCCCGCACTGATTCTGTGCTTATAAAGGAGTGGCAGAGTGATGCAAACCTCCAAACACACCCTGTGCCTTGAAAGGTGTGGTTATGGCAAAAGCATCTACTCCTGATGTTACTAAACCCACCATAAAGCACAAGCAGTGAGCCAGGAGGCACGTATGGTCAAGAAAATTTATATAGCGATCACACCAAAGACCAAGTCCAGATTTAGTCACCTACAGGTTCAGAATCACTACTTAAAAGTCATGATTCTGGCCAGTTGGGTATCGCTCCATGCACCGAAAGGTTGCTGGTTCAATTCTCGGTCAGGGCACATGCCTGGGTTTTGGGCTTACTCCACAGTGGGCATCAATGTTTCTCTTTCTCCTTCCCTCTCCCTTCCTCTCTCTAAAAATCAATAAAAACACATTAAAAAAAATAAGTCAAAATCACAGGGACAGAAAGTAGAATGGTGATTGCCTAGAGCTGGGAAGAGGGACAAATGGGAAGTTTGTGTTTAATGAGGATCGAGTTTCAGTTTTACAAGATGAAAAAAGCTTTGGAGATGGATATGGTGATGGTTGCAAACCAGTAGGAATGTCTTTAAAACTAATGAACTGTATGTATACTTAAAGTGGTTAAGATGCTAAAGTTTGTATATTTTACCACAATAAAAAATTAAAAAAAGGTTTTTAAATAACTGCTACTTAGTCTCTGTCCAGATTTTCTGTAATGAACATTGCTTTTATCATTTCTAAAAGGTTATTAAAAAAAAAAAAATGACTCCAAACCTAAAATCTGCCTCAAGAAAAATTATATACTTTCCAAAAATTCAAATCCAATAACCTCCCACTCTGGGTCAGAGAAAATCTATCATCTAAAAACTGCAAGCAAAAATACACTCCAGGGGGAAAAGGGAGGGAGGTTAACGCCGTTTCTCGGTAGGTTTTTAAAAGGGACCCCCAGCGCGGAGGCGGCGGAAGGGCGCGGCTGTGTCTGAGTTCTCCCCGGTGACCCGGACGCCAGATACTCACGGCCTCTCTCCGGCCCGCCTCGTCCTCCCCGTACGAAGGCCAGCCCGGGCCCCCGCACTGGCCGCCTCTGCTTGGCGGGACCTCCACCGGCGGAGCCCCGATCCTGCTCGCAAGCCCCACCTGGGTCAGGTGCTGGATCTGGGAGCCTGTGGAACACACGGAACAGCCCGGTCAGCACAGGCAGAGAGCAAGGCTGCCCGGCACGGCCCTCTGGCTGTGACCGCCACGCTCCCTCAGCGACAGGAGTGCGAGCACCGTTCACACATGGAACCAACGCTACCTCCCAAGAGTGACATTTCCTGAGAAAACCAGACCCTGAGCTTCTTGGTTCACGGACTTTTACCTCCTTTCAATAGATGGTCTTATTTTCCTGGCTAGACACCAAAGGACTGGGAATGAAGGGTACAGACAGCTCTTCCATTCATTTCTGAATAAATAAGGATGACCTTATTTATTCGGAAGAAAGGACTGAAAGGCTTTGAGACTCGCAAGGAGCTAAAATGACAAGATTTTTATTTTTCATAAACAGCGGGGTGCATATTTGTTTGAATTCAGAATGTGAAAGCACGTTTTCATTACATTCACGTTGAAAACTTTAAAGCCCTCCTCCCAGCCTCCTGGGTGAGGTATCCTGCTGGCACAGCCGGGAACTTCTCTGAGCTCACGCTCTTGCACTGACACATGCTGTGCTGCAGGGGCCTCGTGTGGCTAGAAGACCAGGCTTTAACCAACATCACTTTTCTCCCCCATCAGCTTTAGCATACGGCAGTATCCCTACCTGCAGATTGAGGGATGGGGAAGGTGTCTCAAAGCACTGTGGAATGAAACTGCTTATTTCCAAGTGCCCCTGGGACCCTTGGATTCACCTGTGATGCTCACACCAGGCCTACAACGGCTCAGAGCTTTCACAGAGGTAAGGGGCCGTCCTTCAAGTCTCCTCCTCCCATTGTCTCATTAGCAGCCTCCCTTAATCAAATACATTACAAACAAAAAATACAAGAAAACAAAAAAAACCTCCTTCACGTTGAAAACAATTTGGCTCAGTGGATAGAGCAGCGTCAGCCTGCGGACTGAAAGGTTCCAGGTTCGATTCCGGTCAAGGGCATGTACCTTGGTTGCGGGCACATCCCCAGTAGGGGGTGTGCAAGAGGCAGCTGATCGATGATTCTCTCTCATTGATGTTTCTAATTCTCTATCCCTCTCTCTTCCTCTCTGTAAAAAATCAATAAAATATATTAAAACAAAAACAAACAAAAAAAAAAACTCCTTCACGGTTTTATGGGGATAGAAAAAACTAAAAACCGAAGGTCACAAAGAATGCCCAGGCTCCCGTGAGGACAACGTCCTCTACAGGCGCACTTGCCCGTTCCTGAAGGCTCCTAACAGCATTAAAGGGACCGGGGCTGTCCGTTCTGTCTGCCCAACAGTCATCGTTGGAGGGAATCTTGCAAAGAACACAAATGCAATAATGTTCTCCACTGCTTACAGACTCAGACAGCTGCCCAGTGAGACAAGAATACATCTGTGTTCATACTGGGATGGCAGTTGATATATTAGAGACATAGTATGTATCTTTTATGTTAATCATGTGTGTTCGTGTAAATCATTAAACTTTTGGAAAACAGCTTGGCAATGACTTCATGAATTTTTGATTTGGTAATCCCACTTCTGGGAATCTAGGCTCCCCCTCCACAAAGAAATCCAAAATAACCACGTGTGTAAAAAGATGTGTATCAGAGCATTATTCATAATAGCAAACAATAGAGAGCTCCCTAAAAATCCCGTAATGAGGGCGTCAGTGAGCGAGGGGGACGATCCCCCTATGATTAACATAATAGATACATAATATGTCTATAATATATCACATACAACACACCACACAGCTTCCCCTATGATTCAGCACAGGGCACCACACCCAGCAGGCCCGGGCTTGCATTCCAGCCCAGCCCCGGACAACCGGAGACCTTGGGCACCCAGTTATCACTCCCGCTGAGCCCCCATGCCTCCCCTCTCCACTGGGATAAAAAAAAACCTACCTCGTGGTGTTATTTCAAGAATTAAAAGAGAGCCGAAACCGGTTTGGCTCAGTGGTAGAGCGTCGGTCTGCGGACTGAAAGGTCCAAGGTTTGATTCCGGTCAAGGGCATGTACATTGGTTGCGGGCACATCCCCGGTGAAGGGTGTGCAAGAGGCAGCTGGTCAATGTTTCTCTCTCATCAACGTTTCTAGCTCTCTATCTCTCTCCCTTCCTCTCTGTAAAAAATCAATAAAATATAAAAATAAAAATTCAAATTATAAAAAAAAAGAAAGAATTAAAAGAGATAAAGTGGGTCAAGAACCACACACACAGGAGGCAACCTGGAAATCTTAAATTCTCTTTTTCTGGCTCTTTCTGAGCTCTTCATCGTACATGGCTACACCATTCGCTCACTGACGCCCTCATTACGCGGTATTCAGGGAGCTCACCATTGTTTGCTGTTATGAATAATACTCTGATACACATCTTTTGCACACGTGGGTCCCCACCCTACCCCAGTATTTTGGATTTCTTTGTGGAGGGGGAGCCTAGATTCCCAGAAGTGGAATTACCAAATCAAAAATTCATGAAGTCATTGCCAAGCTGTTTTCCAAAACAGTTTAATGATTTACACGAACAGCAGAAACAATGCAATATTGTTTTCCATATGTTTACCTTCATATGGCACACACACATTTTTCTTGTATGCATTTGCTTCCTGTACTTTGACCATTTCTCTTTCCTACCCTTTGAGGTTTGTCCATTTATCAATTGACATGAGCCATCCTCTATAATAAAAATACCTCTTGGTCATATCTGCTGTATATCTTCCCTAGGTACTATTATCCTTTTGGTTTTAGTAATTTTGAGACATATGTATACATATATACTAGAAGCCTGGTGCACAAAAATTGTGCACTCATGGGGGTCCCTCAGTCCGGCCTGTGCCCTCCTGCAGTCCAGGAGCCCCTGGGGGATCTCCGACTGCCCCAGAAGCCTCTCCCACCACCACTGCACTCACCAGCAGTGAGCCCGGCTTCTGGCTGAGAGGCTCTCCCCCTGTGGGAGCGCACTGACCACCAGGGGATAGCTCCTGTGTTGAACATCTGCCCCCTGGTGGTCAGTGCGCATCATAGTAATTGGTCGTCCTGCCATTCAGTTAATTTTCATATTAGCCTTTTATTATATAGGTGCTCGGAAATAGATCCTGCGCCCTGATCAGTTTGGCTCAGTGGATAGAGTGTCGGCCTGGAGACTGAAGGGTCCCAGGTTCAATTCTGGTTAAGGGCATGTACCTCGGTTGCAGGCACATCCCCAGTGTCGGGTGTGCAGGAAGCAGCTGACTGATCTTTCTCTCTCATTGATGTTTCTACCTCTCTATCCTTCTCCCTTCCTCTTATAAAAAAAAAATCAATAAAATATTAAAAAAAAAAAAAAAAGAAAGAAAGAAAGGAAGAAAGAAAAGAAAAGAAAAAGAAATAGATCTTACAATTTAACCCTGAGAATTTTGAACTGTTTTCCCTGGAAGAAGTGTGCAGTGAATTTCATGCAAAGGGACACTTTTGAGATGCTGCTTCAGGAAAGACACAGTGGACATCAGTGACGGGACCTCAGCGCCCCCTCTTTCCCCACCTCCTCTGCCCTGCATCTCACCAGGATCACAGGGAAAGCAGCTCTGACCAGTGGAAGAGGCTGCTGAACACTGGGGCGCTGATTCCCAGAGAAGTCTAGAATGAACTCTGCCAGAAGTTAGCCAATAAATAAATAAATAAACAAACAAACAAACAAACAAACAAACAAGCATCCTCTTACTTCAGAAATGCAAGCTAAACAGCCACCTGTACCTGCGGTGCCCCCGACGGGCCGGGGCCGGGCCACCGACGGCGTGTCCTCAGAGTAGATCCCTCGTGCAACAAACGGGGCTTCGGCCGATGCCTGTGGCTGCTGGGGCTCGGGAGGCACCAGCTCCGAAGACTGCAGCAAGCCAGGGCCAAAACCGGGTCTGCGGGCAAAGCACACCACGCATCAGGACCACACTGTACCAGGCTCTGGTGTTCGACAAGCTGCCCCCTCAGCCCCACGGAAAAAGAAGCCCTATGTGTCTCCTGGCTCGTTGCCATCTCCTCTCCAGAGGGCAGACACGTTTCCTATGTGCTCACTGCCGGGTCTCCAGCCCTCAGCTCAGTGCCCAGCACAAGCAGACGCGTGAGAAGTATCTGTCAGATGATGGAAGGAGAGATGCTTCTGTTTACAGATCAGGAGAAGGTGCAGCCAAGCTCTGGAGCAGTGTTTCCCAAAGTGTGGTACTCGTTGCACCGGAGTTTGGTGGGGATATGCACTGCACCGCGCTCAGCTGCACCTAATTCTACGTTCTCATGAGTACGAGGAGTACTCAGCGTTACGAAAATTATAGAAGGGGTACACATATGTCAAAAGTTTGGGAAACACTGCTCTAGAGCCTGTTCAGCTCCAGCATCTGACTAAACTATCCGGTTTCCCCGAAAATAAGACAGTGTCTTATGTTAATTTTTTTCTCCCAAAGTTGTGCTAGGTCTTATTTTCGAAGGATGTCTTATTTTCGGGGAAACACGGTAGTCATCTAGTCTGGGCCACACATTAGCATAACCTGAGGGCTTTTAGAGACCCCGTGCCCATGCGGTACCCCTGGCCAATCAAACATAACCTCTAGACGTGGGGCCCAGACACTGGTTGCTTTTAAAGCTCCACTGATGATCGTGAGGCTCAGCAAGGCTGAGAAGCAGTGGTTCTCAAACTGACGTCCCCAGGATTCCTTTCCTCTATAAAAAGTAGTGAGGGTTCCACTTTTATTTGTGTGTATTCTATCTATAGATATTTATTCTATTGTATTTGAAGTTAAAATAGAAAAATTTTAAATACTTATATTTAAAATTCATTTAAAATCATAATACTAAACATATTACATAATAACATTTTTAACGATGTTTTCAATTTTTTTTTTCCAAATTTCCTTAATAGAAGGCATCCTGATTCTCATTTACTTTGTATTGAATCATTTGCCACAAATATGCAGTTGGAAATGAGAGGGATCTTTTAATAGCCTCTACAGAAAATGCTCCAATAATATTTCAGATGTTCTTCTTTGATACCAGATCAATACGCAAAACAGCTTCCTTAAGGGTTAGTGGCAATGTGGCATCTGAAACAGTATCAGTGATGTTCTCACATTCTGTTACATGGAAACCCACTGATCTGGCCTGGCCAGTTTTTCTCAGGGATCAGAGTGCTGGCCCGTAGACCGAAGGGTCATGGGTTCGATTCCTGGCAAAGAGCACATACCTGAGATGCAGGTTCAATCTCTGGCCCTGGTCTGGGCACGTGCAGGAAGCAACCAACCGATGTGTCTCTCTTACATAGATATTCTCTCTCTCTCTCTCTCTCTCTCTCTCTCTCTCTCTCTCTCTCTCTCTCTCTCTTTTCCCCTCTTCCCTCCCTCCACTCTCAAAAAAAAAAAAAAAATCAATAGAAAAAAGATCCTCAGGTGAGGATTAAAAAACAAACAAAAAACCCCACTGGTCTACGCTGAATGAACCCATGCATGATTTTTTGACATTGGTAATGGGAAAATATTGGTTTACTATGTTCTGCAGACTTTCCAGATAGGGATACATTTCATGATATGAAAAATTCACATTCATTCTTATCACCATCAAGCTCCTCAGCAGAGGCTTTAAGCACTAGGACGCTGTCAAGGTCACGGTGGCACACAAAAGTTCCTAAAATCCTTTCACTGGAAAACTCCATTCTGTCCCTGGAGACAGAGGCCGTCAGTTGTTTTCCTTGAAGTGACTGGCCCACCTCGTCCATTTGCGAGACGGTGTCTGCCAATCACCCAGGCCCGAGTCCTGATGTCTGCCAGGTGTTGGTTCAAGTGAAAACACGGAGCAGTTCGAGTCTCAACTCGAACACCTGGACAGGTGCTTTTCCTTCAAAACTCCCTGTCCAGCTAAGTGCTTTACATGTATTTCCTCTTCCATCACACTGACTATGAAAGACTTCAGGGTTTAGGTTTAATAGAATTCATCACTTTTACTACACCACCAAGGACATACGAACACGAAGCCAGCATTTTCTATGAAGCAGCTGTTGTACAGTGGTGAAGAACAGGACGACAACACAGACGATTGGGTGCCACTGCCTTGATTCATACAAAGGCACCAGCATTGGCACCCACCACTGCTGCTGCACCTCAGTGCAAAAGCGAACCCAACGAAAATGTCAAAGACCACCTTCGTGTTATCACGAAAGTAGCTTTGGCCTCAAGATGCCCATGAAAAGAGTTGCAAGAACCCTCCGAGGGCCTCAGAATCCCAGTTGAGAACCGCTCCTCTACAGAAATTCAAGAATTAAAAAAGGGAGAGCCAGCGTACAATGCTTTGCAAGTTAACAGCCAACCAGCCATGGATCAAACCAGTTCTGAGACTGACTTGCACCGACCCCACAGTGTTCTTTCTGGAGTGTCTCTCCGAAACCGAAACCCAACCCGTGCATGGTGCTCTCTTTACACAACGGCTGCTGTTTTAGATTGACCCCTGAGGTCTCTGACCCTGCAGCTCTGAGAAGAGCTTCAAACAAGGCGGGAGCTGTGCATGGGAGCTCACCTGAGCTCGTTCCAGTCTCTGGCCCATCCACCCATGAACCAGCTCTTCCCCCTTTACTTGTTTCTACTTGACCTGGTCAGTTACGTAGCCCCCTCCTCCTCCGCGGGCAGCCCTTTTCTCGTAAACTGCATGCTCAGGTCGTTCGCCTGATCCAGGCACTGTGGATTCCTTCCCCTTGGGTGACCATGACGCTGGTCATCCAAACCGGAGCAGTTCGGAGAGTGAGAGTTATTAATCATTAGGCCGGACAACGGGTCTAAACTGGAACTGAACTGGGTGAGCCCGACCGCATGGTCCTGTCACTAACTGCTTCCCCGGATCACCTGAGCGCCACGCGCTCCCTCTGCCCGCGGTGTTTTGCAACCACAAAGCAGCGCCCGCCCGGGTGGGGGAGCTGGGCTGGGGAGAAATAAAGCAAGCCCCTCTGAACATGAGGAAGAATAGAGAACACACACACACACACAAAAAAAAAAATCAAATAAGGAGGCAGCAGATATAGCATCCCTACTTCCGTGTGACTCCTGGTCACGGAAGGCGAGCTGGGTATAATTTCTGAGATTGTTTTTCTGCAATTCCTTCTTTATAGTAAATCAACGGTCTACTCATGTGTAGGCCTGTTTACAGGCTTTCTAGTCTAGTCCATAGTTCTATTCCATTGCTCTGTCTGTCTAGCTTTGGAGTAAAACCACACTGTCTTAATTACTTGGCAGTAATTTGTAACATTCCAAATAGTCTCATCATCATATCCTTCTCTCTTAGAGCTCCCCGGCTCTTCTTGGTTTTCTGTCTTCTCAGACCAGTGGGCCTTCCCTCCAGGGTAAGCACACTTACTTTAAAACCTGTGCTCAGTAGCTCCAAAATCTGGGTCCCCTCTAATTCCTTTTCTGTTTCTCCTTATTATTGTTTGAATCATATTTTCTTTTCTTCTCATATGCTGGGTTTTGTGTGTCTGTGTGTTTGATCTCACATAAAACTATAACGAAAACGGGAGGTGTAACATATTCTCTTCCTGTAAAGGAGAACTAATATTTGTTTCTGCCAGGGAGCTGGAGGGATGAACAATGTCTGGTCACCTCAGTCCAATGAGGGCGTGAGATCCTTCGGAGCTGAGCTGTAGTTCTTGTAGGGACCCCTGTACTTATCACTAACCCATCCTCTAAGGTTAACCCCTAAGGGTCTGATCCCAAGCCTTTGGGTGTTTACAAGGGCCTCCCTTCCTTGTCCTCACAGCCTCCTGAGTCTGCCAAAAGCCTTGCTCAACTTCTCAGCCGCCCGCCTCCACCAAAACCAGCAGGCGGCCATGGGAGAGAGCGGCCCAAAAGGCATTTCCTAGATGTTGGCCCGTACTGCTTCCCTCCCCTGTTAGCTCTCTGGCTTTTATATTTTTAATTTAAGACTTTGTCTAGCTGGTTTGGCTCAGTGGATACAGCATGGGCCTGCAGACTGAACAGTCCTGGGTTCAACTACAGTCAAGGGCATATGCTTGGGTTGCAGGCTTGATCCCCAGTAGGGGGTATGCAGAAGGCAGCCAATCAATGATTCTCTCTCATCATTGATGTTTCTCTCTCTCTCTCTCTCTCTCTCTTCTTCTCCTTTCCTCTTTGAAATCAATAAAAATATATATTACATATATATATATATATATATATATATACACACACACAATATATATATATATATAAAAGGCTTTGTCTAACTTTTCCAGTTGTTCTCAAAAAATCATCTAGTCACACATTACTGGACCAGAACTTGAATTCTAACTTTTTTCTCCTCTTTTGATTAGATCAAAAGAATACAATTCAGAATTTTATATCTGGTTATAGTAGCTAAAAAAAAAATAAAAAATGAGTTTACAAAATTAAATGAAAAAAGGAAAACAGCCTACCCTAAAATCCTAATACATTTTCTCCTGAAAACTTTACCTCGGCAACGGGCCCGACGGGGGAGTCATTCCATAGTCGTCATATCTCTGAAAGAAATTCAAAAGAAGATGAAGATTAATGGTTAATACTTATTAGGAAGTGAGAACAGCAAACTTATAAATTTAGGTTTACGGGATCAACTTTCAAGAGAATTATTTTCTCATAAAAAGTTAGCATGCCATTGGGGCACAATGCCATCATGTACTGCCAGCAGCTCCAGCTTGGGGAACTGGCTACCAGCCTTGAAAAAAATACACAACTGATTTCTAGACCTTTTTATTTTTTCAGTAAAAATGTAAAATAGGATTTCTGTGCTTGCTCTTTTGTATAGGCTTATTCTCTACAAACTTGTCTGTCTCTTCCGTTTAAAAGGCAGGCCGAAAAACAAACAAAGACAGACAGGACAGAGTGGCCACATTAAAAAAAAAAAATGTTCTTATTGGTTTTTTAGAGAGGACGGAAGAGGGAAACATCAGTCACCTGGCTCCTGCATGCCCCCTATTGGGGATCCATGGAACTGCCAACCTCTCTGACATGGGACGACACTCAACCAACTGAGCCACTTGGGCCAGGGCCAGAGGGGCCATCTCTATTACAAGTGACTATCAACCTCGGCAATGACAATCACGTGATCTAATGGGTGCCCAGTAGCAATTCAAATACACTCAAACGAAACTCTGCAAATGATGTACCATGCAGTAAAAAGAGAAAGACTATACATAACTGGAATTTAGACTCTTCAAGACGAAATGTCTAACCACTATGCTGTATACCTGAAACCAACTTATCTGATAAAGAGGGATATGCAAATTGACCACCATACCGTAACAAGCTGTCTATGCCCACAGCAGAGGCAGGAGTCTGTAACACAAGATGGCTGTGCCCACAGCAGAGGCTGAACTCCCATGAGTTTTAACAAGCAATCAGCAGGGACCTGAGGCTGCAGTGCACTGGGCAGGGGCAGGGGACCAGAGGCTGCACCCTCCACCTGGCTGGGCTTGATGAGGGTGGGGCTGGCCGGGTCTGGGTCTCAAGTGATTTCAAGGTGCACGTGGGTGGGCGGGGACTTGATTCTGGCTCCCATGGCATGCCCCAGACTCTGACAGGAGGAAGATTTTCATATACACTTTACTAATTGTCTTTTATCTCTGACACTGCTATTATAGAGAAAGGGCAAATAGCAATATTAAAATGTTTCCTCTAACTAAATCCCTTTTAATGTGCTCGAATTTCGTGCACCGGGTCACTAGTTACAAAATAACACTGAATGTAAACTGTAATTTAAAAAATTAATAAGAAAAAGAAAGTGAGAACTCAACACTAAGCTAAGAGGCTCCTGGTAGGTCTTTCTCTTCATTCCAAGACCTCCTGACACCCAGAGGATCCATCCTGTGTTAGCCTCTCGGCTCGTCGGCCTGATCAACACCAACAAACAGTACTGTCCTTGTCAGCCGCCATCCAGCATCCTTCACCCAAGACCAGAGGCCAGGAGCCAATTAGGAAGTTCTTGCAATGGTCCTGGTGAGAGATGACGGTGGCTCCAACTCGCGTCTAATCCGTGAAAGGAATTTGAGAGGAAGAATCTCCAGCTCCCGACTGGAGAATTCTAGAAGGTCCATACTTACGCTGCATGGGTTGTTGGCCATCTGAGCTGGGCTGTAGAAGGAGCCCCACTGGGCGGTGCGCCTCTCTTCCCGGGAAGGGGTGCTGTTCACGGGGAGGCCGGCCGGGACCCCAGGGCCCACGGCAGCGTTGGCGGGCTGGCTGCTGGGGGCCACGAGGGCAAAGGCGTCGTCCAGGAGCGAGTGCATGGTCTGGCGCGCCTCCTCGATGGACGGCTGGGGCGGGACGTACTGCGGGGCCGGGAAGGGTAGGCCCGGGTACCGGCCCAGCTCAGCAGAGGACGGCGTCGGCACGTCCGCCGGGAGGTCGGGGTCGGACTGCAGCGGGACACAGCACAGGAGGACGAATCAGACAAGAGCCTCCATGGTGACCCGGAAACAAAACTCTATCGAGGGCCAACACGGAACAGAACGGTCTTCACGGACACGAGGAAACGGTTTCCCGTAAGTTTTTGAGAGGACAGCTGAGGAAAGTGTGTTAGCTCTCACGGCTGCAGAACACTTGCATCAGGAATTAACAAAATAAAAATATTCAACCATCATTTATCCAGCAAAATCCCTGCAACTGTGTTTCAGAATTTTTAGGGAGAGAGTAGGAAGGAAGTCCATCTGAGGAAGATTTTCATTGTAGGGGATTTGAAAAACAGCCATTGGAGAACAGCAGCTGACGAAAGTGGCTCTCCAGGGAAGGGCACTTTCTGCTAAAAGTAAAAAATAAAAATAAAAAGACCACCAAAACAGCAAGGAGAAAAAGGGCCGCCAAGAAAGAGACCTGACCTAGGGTCATGGATGATGAAGGCAGGATGGAGAGAGCAAGGGAAGACGGTCACTCCCCACACCAAACCCAGCGGCACTGGGTGAGGGCACCCCTGTGAGGCCTGCAGGCTCCCCTGCAGGTTCCCCCAAGAGGATCAGCCACTGGTGAGGGAGGGGGAGGGGAAGGGGGAGGAGGAGAAGTAAGGTTCCTCCTGTTTGTTAGCTTCTCCGCATGACTCTCCGGGGAGCCAAGGGGACAGCCCTCCCCATGATCAAACCAAACAGCAGAGACGCCCAGACAACCGCCTGCCCAAAAGCAGCAGCACAAGAACGCCATCTACTGTAAGAACTGTGAGCAATGGCTCCTGGCCGAGGGAATTCATTCACAGCACGCAGACGCAGAGGACGGACTCCATTCCCTCTACTGAGAGCAAAGCATTCTAATTTGTTGACGGGCCAACTCTCTGGAACCACTCCAGCCCTCAGCAGCAGGGATGAAGGGCACGGTCAGTCTTGAGGGTATTATAATACATAAACTCCCAAGGAAAGCCTGGCTCTCTCAGATGGCCACGATGCCATTACAGGTGGCCCAGTGTCAGCATGGTGTCTGGCACATTCATAGAATTACTAGAGGCCCGGTGCTTGAATCCGTGCACAAGTGGAGTTCCTAGGCCTGGCCAGCGATCAGGGAAGACTGGGACTGATCAGGGCCAGCCAGCTAGGGGGGATTAGAGGGAGGGACTGTAAGAGGTTGGCTGTGGGAGTGCACTGACCACCAGGGGGCAGCTCCTCCATTGAGTATCTGCCCCCTGGTGGTCATTGCGCATCATAGCAACCAGTCGACCGGTCATTCAGTTGACCAGTCATAAAAGTTGCTTAGGTTTTTATATATATATAGGTATTAGTGTCTGGCAGTGTTAGTTTTTAGTGTAATTGAGGAGACAAAATATAAAACTCAAGTAAATGGCTGCTGCATAAGCCCTATGTAAAGGGACTGTGTACCTCCTTCTCCAAGGATGTGTTTACTACTAATCTCCCTCCTCACAAGGATGGTCGTGTACGTTAGTCTCCGGGGGGAAGAGGGGGAGGGCTACTGCAACAAGACAGGGCAAACCCTGGTGTGAGGCTACAGGCACCCACACCTCGGCTCCCTGTCCTGGGTGCCTCTGTCCTCTATTTCTCATGGCTCCTCAGGGAGGCTGGCCCTCTCTTCCTACTCAATGGGGTCTGTGTGTGTGTGTCTTAAAGCTATCAACGTCTGCCCTTTACACTTCAAGCAACTCTGTGCCCTTTCTGCTTGAAAGAAATGTTTAAACCCGTATTTCTTAGCTTCCAGTAAGCTTTCTCCCACTAAAATTACACATAAACACACACACACATACACCAGAGGCCCGGTGCATGAAATTTGTGCACGGGTAGGGTCCCTAGTGGCTGTTGGCTGCAGGCCGGGGCCTCCCTTCCCTGGCTGGGACCTTCCTTCACTCCACGCCACCCCCTGGTGGATAGCGCACATCATAGCAAGTGATCGAACTCCTGGTCGGTGGAACTCCTAAGGGGACACTTTCCATATTAGGCTTTTATATAGAGAGAGAAAAGATAGAAAGACAAATGATATATATTAAAACTTCATATATACTAAAATTATATATATATGTATATACATGTGTATGTATATATATTACGTCTATATATAATGAGCAAATATATCTTCTTAGCATTCTAGAAACAGAAGGGAGGGACAAAACCCTAAATATCCTTCCTATCAACAAGAAACCCAAAGAGCACTCTGGCCCAGGGGATAGAAAAGCAACCTTCTGACCGAAACCAGTTTGGCTCAGTGGATAGAGCGTCAGCCTGCGGACTGAAAGGTCCCGGGTTCGATTCCGGTCAAAGGCATGTATACCTTGGTTGCAGGCACGTCCCCAGTGTGGGGTGTGCAGGAGGCAGCTGATCGATGATTCTCTCTCATCGATGTTTCTAACTCTCTATCCCTCTCTCTCTTCCTCTCTGTAAAAAATCAATATATTTTTTTAAAAAAGAAAAAAAAAAAAGAAAAGCTACCTTCTGGATGTTCTTCGTGTTCCACTTACCCTCGAGAAGGGCCCACACCGAAGCCCAAGAGGAAGGGGCTCGCAGACAGAAAGGGCTCAGCCAGCAGCCCCCTGGCTCACAGGACTGAAGTCTGCCCTCCAACGAGCGGTCCCCTCCCTCCCCTTCCCCACATGCCTCCCCCCCAGCCGCCCCCGGAGCAGCGCCAGCCACTGGGCGTCAGCCCCGCCCAGAGCGCAGCCCCACTGTGCGCTCTCCGCCCGCGGGGCCACCCACACCGGTTCCAGAAGGAAGGGTCGGCGCCACGCACCGGGCAGCCCATGTAGGCGGAGTTGTGGACGCCGGGCGGCCTCTTGTAGGTGCCGTCGCTGTCGGTGGTGATGAGCCGGTCCTTCTCGGCATCTCCGGGGCAGCCGTTGACCTGGTGCTTCCGGCGGGCCTTCGGAGAACGCTTTATCCGCGAGCTGCCGGGGGGAAAGAGAGGGTCACCTTCAGAGGGAAGAAACCTTCCTGCCACTGGCTCAGCAGCTAAACCATAAGCACTTTCTGAGCACCCGTGACTGCTGGCCACCGTGGCAAACACCCATGGGATATAAACACTGGGCAAGAGACCGTCTCGGCTCCGAGGAGGCTCACCGTCTACCTGGGCAGCCCACAGAGACACAAGGAGCACAGAGAGCACTCCGAGGCAGTACACACTCAGGAGCTTAGTTACACGGACACTCAGAAAAGGAGACAACGGCTAATGTGAGCTACTGAGCCATCACTGCCTACATGGGGGCTGAGCTGCGTCTTGAAGAGCAAACAGGGTCTGCAGGCGGGGAGTGACGTGTGGGGTCCAGGCACGGCCACACCAAGGGCCAGAAGTAGAAATGCAGGTCAAGGTTTGGGGGCAACAGGGCCACCAGTTAACGGAGTGGCAGGTCTGTCTCTGCTGCTGTGCGAGGACAGGTGACCCCACCCGTCACGGCACACAGGCAGCACAGGGAACCTTCGCAGGTTTTTAGCAGAGAAAGGCGTAACGGAGAGCAATGCTTAAGAAAATGCGTCTGTGTTGCTCCAACCTGTGTGGCTTAGTTGGCTGAGCAGCACCGAAAGGTGGCCGGCTTGATTCCCAGCCGGGGCACAAGCTCGGGTTGGGAGCTCCATCCCGGTAGGGGGTGTTGAGGAGGCAGCTGATGGATGTTTCTCTCTCACATCAATATTTCTCTCTTTTTCTCCCTCTCCTTTTTTCTTCTCTCTAAAAATCAATTTTAAAAAATCTTTTTTAAAAAAAGACATTGCATCTGTGAAGGGGGCAGCAGTCGGAGAGGCAAAGGGGAAAGTAGGCCCCAAAACTCGTAGGGCGGCTGTGGGACCAGAAATGAGACATCCACCTGTACTGACCCGGGTGACCACCTCGGAGGTGAGGATGCTGGAGGGGAGCAGGCAGAGAGGAGGTGGAGGCCCGGGAAGTGGGGAGGTGGGTCTGGGCAGGGAGGGGTGGCCACCATTCAGAATGCTGACTTCGAGGAGACAGTAACCAAGGAAGTGTTCTGAGACCAGGGCGATGCCGGCAGAAGGAAAGCAGCCTTTCCGCACACCAGCCACCCACGAGGGAGCAAAGCCACCCCAGCAGCCTGCATGGCCTTTCCGTGTCTAACCCTTTTGGCCCATTTTCAGACACTCTGCCCTTAAAAACGGACGGGCCCTCCGACCGCAGCCCTGACGGACAGTGGAGGCCGCCCGGCGTGCCCGGGGCCCACCTCTTCCTGGGCTCGATGAACACGGAGGGCACGCTGGCCGTGGGGTCCAGGATCTTGTCGATCTGCATCTGCGCCCGGCGGTACACCCGGTGCCGCTCGCGCGTGTCCCCCGACGACAGGTCATCCACCACCGGGAACTCGTAGTGGCCGCGGCGCTTGGCACGGAGCCGGATCTTGTTCCGATGGTGCTCGATCTCCGACTTGTGCCGCAGCGCCGTCTGAATCTGCGGGGCGAGGCGGGGGGTACCAGACAGAGGCGATGTGCTCGAAGCTCTCTGCGGCCCAGGCCCAGAAGGCGTTTGGGGAAGGCCTTCCTGCCCCCTTTTTACCCCCCCTCCCTCCCCAGGCTGTCCTGGGCTTCCAGGAGGCCCCGAAGGTGTAAGACAGGCAACCATACCCACACTGGGCACGGGGGACCTGCCACGGCCCGCAGGCTGTCCCCTCAAACTCGCCCAGTGTGTGAGGGGGGAAGACGAGGATGAGCCCCCAAAGCTGGCAAAGGTAACTCAAGTCTGGGAGATGGGCACTCGGACAACACCCAGGGCACTGACAACCAGATACAGTGCGTGTGCCCCGAGAGACGGAATAGATGTTTGCCAGACCCAACAATCGCCACCTTGGAGGCTTTTAAGACAGACTCAAAGACATTATGTGCATTATACAACAGAATCCCACTTACTGATAATTATCTAGTGTCACCAAAACAAGCCCTCTGAAATGAGACCCCTCCTCCCGAAGAGAGGCTCCCTATGCATGGAGCCTGTCATCGCTGCACATGGGCCTGAGCTAGGTTCTGAGGAGCGTGTAGGATCTGAAGAGGGGAAGGTGTGAGATGCAGGCACCACCACGGAGGGCCAGAAGCAGGAATGCGGAGGAATGCTTGGTGGCAGTGAGGCGGCCTCATCCTGCAGATCAGACAGGCTCGCTGGGAATCTGGGAGCAGAGAACAGGACGCAGGCCAGAACACCACGGAACGTTCCTGGCTGCACTGCAGTAGACCCAAAGCCACATGCTGCTTTGAGAAGGACAGTCAGCTGCACAAGGTTCTCGGAAACTCACCAGCAGAAGAATTAAGAAAGCCCCTCTTAGCCCCAGCCAGGTGGCTCCGTTGGTTGGAGCATCATCCCCACATACCAGAATGGCTGCGGGTTTGATCCCTGGTCAGGGTCTGTGCAAGAGGCAACCAATCGATGTCTGTTTCTTTCTCTCCCTTCCTTCCTCCCTCCCTTCCTCTTTATCTCTCTCTTCCCCAATCCTCTCTCCCCCAATTCCTCTCTCTCTAAAATCAATAAGCATATCCTCAGGTGAGAATTTTTATTTTTTTTTAAAGCCCCTTTTACTCTATTAGGATCTAACGGTTCCTTGAAATACATGAGGTCCTCACAGAAGAACCGGAAGATCCAAGATATGTTAGGAATTTGCACCAGAACCTCCCTCTGAGAAAACATTTCAGGTGCGATGTATGAATAGTATGGATCAGTAGAGCAGAATTGATAATGTTCAAGTTCTCAGGTGGGGTTTTGATTTCATTATGATTTATAATCAATCTGTATTATCTACAGTAGTCATACATATGCATCAACTACTACATTTGAAAAAGAAGCAGAGGAAAGATTGGAGATGCTGCTACCAAGTTGTGAGGCCACAGGCCTGGGGACCACATTTCTTCTCTCTTTCCAGATGGGGAACCCACTGCAGGTATTCACACACGGCAGGTGCGGAGGCACAGGCAACACGTGGCTGACGGGGACGGGTCGAGGCCAGGCCTGGCTACAGAGGGCTGGGGCTCCTGAGCACCAGCGAGAAGGGACAACACTCCCCATCCTGAACCCCCGGCACACATTCTGTGGTCACGTCCTTGGCAAGCAGCCAAAGAGGTGTGGCTGGGAGGAACTCCAAGAACTTTCGCTAGGACTTCTGTAAGAGGATCCACTGCAAGGATCACTTTAATTAAAGTGGAGAGGAGGGCTCAGCTGCACTAATTGTTTTTCTTTTTTTTTTTTTCCCTTTTTAATATATTTTATTGATTTTTTACAGAGAGGAAGAGAGAGAGATAGAGAGCCAGAAACATCGATGAGAGAGAATCATCGATCAGCTGCCTCTTGCACACCTCCTACTGGGGATGTGCCCACAACCAAGGTACATGCCCTTGACCAGAATCGAACCTGGGATCCTTCAGTCTGCAGGCTGATGATCTATCCACTGAGCCAAACCAGTTTCGGCACAACTGTACCAATTTCTTAGAACTCAAACAGCTGCAGGGGTTTCTTAGAGGCAGGAAATTGGCCGGCATGAAGCTGCCTTGTGCGCACTCCCAAATGGCATTCATTCCCCTCACTATCCAGCCCAGGTCAAATCTCCCAAGTTCAAGGTAACAGTGGCCTGGCCTGGCCTTCTGGTTCCCAGCATCCTAGGCTGAAGCACATCCACTCACTCTTCCAGGATTCACTGGCACAGGGTTTTGCTAGGAAGGATCTAGAGCACATGTGTCAAACACAAGGCCCACGGGCCAAATCCTTCCCGCCAGGCCTTGCAATGTGGCCCGCACTGCGCTGTCATCACTGCACTCTGCTGCGTTTCCATCACAATGACAGTTTATGACTGTTCAGTAAACCATTCGGCCCGCGATTTAGGCTGGATTTTAGATTTTGGCCCCTTCTCTGATTGAGTTCGACACCCCTAATCTAGAGCCTTGGAGCCGGAGCAGATCTGTGAGGAATCACAAAGCTGACGATGGTTCCATGACCACCCCAGGTTCAATGACTCACTAGGAGCACTCACAGGACTCAGCTGTGAGGCCCAGTTATGACAGCAAAAGGACACAAAGCAAAATCAGCAACGGGGCTGCTGGAGGGACATCACCATCTTCCCAGAGTCCTCCCCACTGGGGTCACTCAGGATGTGCTTCCTCCCTCCAGCCCTGAGCTGGAACGACACATGTGAACTGTCCACCAGAGATGCTCGTCAGAGACGCCACAGCCAGGGTTTTTAATGGGGGCTGATCACACACACACACACACACACACCCCCACCACCACCACCTGACATGTCCCAAAATTCCAACTCTCAGAAAGAAGGCAGATATTCAGCCCAAATCATACTGTTTGCACAGCTCAGACACAGTGAGCCAACTCCGTTCTGCAAATGATGGGAATCTTTCAGAAATTCAAATTCCCAAGACCAACCACAGGGTAAAGCGGGACTTCTAAAGAGAGCAGTCTCGGGTCTCTTTCCTGTACGGTTGCCAATGCACTGACCTGTGTCTTTATCTCTCTGAATAATATCTACACTAAAAAAATAGTATCCTGAATAGTGTCTGATCTAAAAAAAAAAAAAAAAAAAAAAAAGTCCTTGCATAGTATCTGATCTAAAAAACAAAAACAAAAAAACACTGAGTATAATTTTTATTGGTAAATCCTCACCCAAGGATATTTTTCCATTAATTTTTAGAGAGAGTGAAGGGAGGGAGGGAAAGAAAGAGAGAGCGAGAGGGAGAGGGAAACATAGAAACATTGATGGGAGAGAGACACCGATAGGTGACCTCCTGCATGCGACCCAACCACAGGCCACAGGGATCAAACCTGCAGCTCAGGTGCGCGCCCCTGCCCGGGAATCAAACTCAAAACCCTCGGTGCTCTAACTACTGAGAACGTCAGCCAGGGCAAACTGAGTACAGCTCTGAAATTAAGAATACCTGGCAGCATCTCATACCTTTAACACCAACTTTCCCTCCGTTTTAAGCACTAACCACATCAGCACATGAGCTTTTGTATTTATGTACCTTTTCCTGCAAACAAATACCTCTTTGTTGATTTTGTTGGTTTCTGCCACTCGGTCGGCCAGGACTGGGTGGTGGACGGGAGGCGCGGGGATGGGCTGCATGGCGATCAGCTGGATCTTACTGGGCACCCGCCGGCTGGCCTCCGAGGAGCGCGAGATCCGGTCCACGTGCTCGAAGATGGAGGCCGAGGAGTGCTGCTCGTTCCCTGAACTGGCTGGCGGGGGCCCTGCAATAGGAGGAAAAGCCAGGAGATAAATATATAAAGTCCTCGAAAGACAGCAAATAATCAAAACTATGGATTAATTCTTAAAGAATCCTCAGGTGGGCTCCTGACCAACAGCACATCACTACTGCGTGGCAGAGTTTGAGCTTACGGCATCTGTGTTCAATATCAGCTCTTTCAACCTCATTAAAAATTACAAATGGCCGAAACCAGTTTGGCTCAGTGGATAGAGCATCGGTCTGTGGACTGAAAGGTCCCAGGTTCGATTCCGGTCAAGGGCATGTACATTGGTTGCGGGCACATCCCCAGTGGGGGGGGGGGGGGGGGGGGGTGCAGGAGGCAGCTATAGATGTTTCTCTCTCATCTATGTTTCTAACTATCCTCTCCCTTCCTCTTTGTAAAAAATCAATAAAAAATGTATTTTTTAAAAGTTACAAATGTCAGCAGGAAAAAATGTGGGAACCATGAGCCACTTGGTGCCAAACACTGCCCAGTTTTGTCTAAAGGGATTTCAGTCTTCAATAAGAAAGGGTAAAGGGCGGAAGGAACCTGAAGCTGCTCAGTCCACTGTCATTTATACAACACACAGCAGCTCTGAGCATCCCTCTCATGTGCGGTGACACAGATGTATCGGGTCTAGTAATAATTAATGTCGTTTTTAAACATTCGTTTAAAATCTTGCTTGGCGTTGACTTGTATTGACATCACCTTCAAACACGTGGTATCTACAGAACGTGTGAAGTGCAATTAACAAGTTTTGCTTGAAAAAGTTTGTGTTTGGTTTGGTTTTTGTTGCAAAACTAGGGCTAAGAAGATGGCGGATGAAGAGCATATTCAGCACTGCATGCTTTACGAGTTCCAATTAGGAAGAAAAGCAAGTGAGGCTGCAAAAAACATCTGTAGTGCTCTTGGTCAAGATGCAGTTAGCGCCAGAAAATGCCAGCGTTGGTTTGAGAAATTTCGTGAGGGAAATTTTTCGTTAGATGACAAGAGTGGTCGAGGCCGTGTGTCCAATTTTGATCAAGAAGCTCTTCAAGCTCTTTTGGTGCAAAATCCTCAAATTACCCAACAAGAGCTTGCGACAACTTTAAATTGTTCACAAAAAACAGTTTCCAATCAATTGCGTGCACTTGGCAAAGTCCAAAAGTTTGGAAAATGGGCTCCTCATGAGTTGACCGACAACAACCGTAATCAAAGTCACAATTTGCAGTTCGCTCCTCTCTCGTCAAAGCCGTTTGCCGTTTTTAGAGCAAATTGTTACCGGAGATGAAGAATGGGTGCTGTATGTTAATTTGAAAAGGCGGCCTCAATGGTTGGACAAAAATGAGGCTCCGCAGCCCACGCCAAAACCTGACTTGCATGCGAAAAAAGTGATGTTGTGTGTTTGGTGGAATTTTAAAGGAATTCTTCATTATGAACTTTTACCATCTAACCAAACCATTACAAGTGCAGTGTATAGTGCCCAATTGAAAAGGTTAGCCCAACCTTTAAGAGAAAAAGAACCCGCGCTGATTAATCGGAAGGGCGTAATTCTTCACCACGATAACGCACGACCGCATACTGCAAGAATCACTGCTGAAAAACTGCGCCAGTTGGAATGGGAAGTTCTCCCTCAACCTGCATATTCTCCTGATATTGCCCCTTCCGATTACCATTTGTTTCGTTCTTTGCAAAACTTTCTTCTTGGAAAAAAATTTAATAATGAAGAATGCCTCAAAAATGCATTGACCGAATTTTTTGCATCAAAATCACAAGAATTTTACAACAGAGGGATTAAAATGCTTCCTGAGCGTTGGGCACAAGTAGTAGAAAACAACAGCAACTATTAATATATTGTTGATTAAATTTTATTGTATTGTTTAAATAAATTCGATTTAAAAAAGTATTAGAAAACGACATTAATTATTACTAGACCTAATAGTTGCCAAGGCACTTATGCTCAAGACGAGGGGTCTGTGGGCATGCAGGCAGGTGTTAATGGACAATGAGCATGTCCAGGTTTTCTGATTGGATGCAGAAAAAAAACTAAGCTGAAGAGGTATGGGAAGAAAAAGCTGCTGCCTGGAGGGAAGCCGTTCCCACTTTAAAAAGAGATGAAGAGTCTACTAAAATAGTTAAAAGGGGGGAAATTTTTTTTTAAATATGATTTTTAGAGAGAGAGAAAGAGCGAGGGAAAGGTAGAAACATCAGTGAGAGAGACAGACTGATTAGCTGCCTCCTGCACGCCCCCTACTGGGGATAGAGCCAGCAACCCAGGCATCTGACCAGGAATCAAACCAGGGACCTCTTTGGCCCATGAATGATGCTCTGTTCACTGAGCCATACCAGCCAGGCCAGAAAACTTTTTTCAAAAGTTAATTTTTAATGATTAAAAGAGTAAATGTATGGCATATATATGTATATATATATATATATTTACCACAACTTTTAAATATTTTTAAAAGTAATCAGAACTGCAAAAAAGAAAAAATTTAAACATATAGAAAGAGGGGGGGAAAAGTATTAACAGACTAAATCTTGGTATAATGGGTGATTTTCACCAATTTCTTGAGTATTACTTTTAGAGAGGAAATAATCCTTATGAACTTTAATTTTAAGAAGGCAAGAAAAAAGAGATGGAGAGAGATGAAGAGGGGCTGAATAGGTGAAAGACGCCCATGGAGCCATTTAGACGCACTAAGACTCTGAGAAGCCACAGTTGCCTCTGGTTGTTTTAAATTAAATGGCTCACAGGCCATGCAAGCATGCAGAAACTGTTTTCAAACAAAAGCCTGAAGTTTGAACCCTCAAGCGTAACTGGAAATTATCGAGGGTTCTCCTCAAGGTAAACACAAAATAAAACAATCGCCAAGCAAAGCAGTAAGAAACAACAGTTGATATTTGACATACGGAATACACATCGATGTGACGTAAGTTATGTATTTCCTCTCGATTTCAATTCTATTCTCCTGCTGCCCCAAGAGACTGTGCATGGACACGTCCCTCAGCCAGGAGGCCTGGCTGTGGGGATTCCGGCTTTCCTCCCTGACTGTGCAGCGCAAGAGGCCAGGCACCACCCCGCGTCTGGTGGCAGCTTCTCAGATGGCAGGCACAGGGCCTAACAGGAGATCATTAGCTTCACCAGATAGGCTGGCCTTGCTAAGCCAAACTCACAGAGTGACAGCAACTGTCACAGAAGATAGCCGTTACCCAACAGACACCCAAAGGGGAGGTCCCTCTCCTCCAGGATGGTCCAAAGGCCAGGGGCAGAGAGCTCCAAATGGCTGGAAGGCGATGGGGGGAAGGGGGGAGGGACGAAAGGGGAGGGAGGGGGGAGGGGGGCCCCGCCCCCTGTGCTGTCTGTCTGCTGGGAACCATGGAGCTCAGGCCTGTGACTGGCTCCTGTCTACGCCCATCCCACCCCTGCATGGTGGTCATGGATCCTCGCTCTACAATTCACCAGCTGCTACCAGAGGAGGGGAAGCACAGAAAACCCGCAAGTTTACACCCTGCCCAGAGCCCAGCCCTTCTAAAGGGCTGAAAAGAGGGATTTTTGTCATATACATATAATAGACATAGCATATTTGTCATATGATATATGAATACATGTATAAACAAATCCCAGTTTCCCAGTTATGTATTTTTATTATTTGCTATGCATTGCAATATTTATTTATTTTTTTTAAAGAACACAACTACTTTTTTAATAATGGTCAATGGAAAACACAATGCCTAGCCCTAGCTGGTTTGGCTCAGTGGATAGAGTATCAGCCTGTGGAATAAAGGGTCTGGGGTTCAATCCCAGTCAAAGGCTCATGCCCAGGTTGCAGGCTTGATCCCCAATAGCGGGTGTGCAGGAGGAAGCTGATTAATGATTCTCATTCCTGATATTTCTATCTCTCTCCCTCTACTTTCCTCTCTGAAATCAATAAAAATATATTTAAAAAAACCAAAACCCACAATGCCTACACAGAGATTAATGCTATGTGAATCTTGTCTTAAGGCAAGTAGGGACTTTGGATTAAAAACCCCTTTCTCTTTAAATATAATAAAAACAAAAAATATAATGATAGAAATTACAAAGGAGAATAACAGAGGAGCAGGAAATTTGAATACTGGAATGCAAGAGCAATGGGCCATTTTTAAAGAATATTACTTCATCGTCTATAGGAAAATACAATCCCACTGCCTTATTATTTTTAAATATAATTTTATTGATTTCAGAGAGGAAGGGAGAGGGAGAAAGATAGAAACATCAATGACGAGAGAGAATCATGGATTGGTTGCCTCCTGCACACCCCCTACTGGAGACCAAGTAAACAACCTGGGCATACACTCTTGATTAGAATTGAACCCAGGCCCCTTCAGTCCACAGGCTGACACGCTATCCACTGAGCCAAACTGGCTAGGGCCCACTGCCTTCCTATTAATGCCTGTGAGGCAGGGGCTGCGTGTCCCATCTCCTAAAGGTGGGGGGTATACATCCCAAAAGGTCAGCTGGGAAAGCGGTAAGGCACAGCCTCGAATTGACCAAAACCAACGCAACAGCCTTTTCTGTGCTTCCAAAGCAAGGTGGGTCCTGGAATCCCCACGCGACCTGTGACAGCGTGGGAAGCCCTGCCACCACCGTGGTGAGAGGGGACACTGGTCCCAGGGCAACGTGCCCGAGGGCCCCAGACGGGCTCAAGCAACCGCCTGGCTCCATGAATCTGTATTTTATTATGACTTGCAACAACAACAAAAAGGATTTGTATGTGCATTACAAAATAATTCGAATGCTATGATTATAAACGCAGAGTCATTTCATGGGGGATTTAGCTAAGTTCTATGCAAGCAATAAAACGCCTGCACAGCAGCATTTTAGCTATATGAAAGCGAACAGTTTTAAAAGTCAAGTGATGCTTGCAGCGAGAAAATTGTCTTTCTAAACCATGGAAATGTATGGATTTCGGTGTCTTCAAAGCATAATAGTGTTCTAATACTCAGAACACCTAATCCACTCGTCTCCTCCCACCGTCCCCGCTCAGTCCCAAAGCTGACATTCCTGCTACTGGGATTCTGAATATATGTTGAGAGCAATGCTTGGTTTTTGTGAACCGTGTAGCTGTAATCTTATCAGCAAGCAGAGCTAACCTTGGGAACTAAAAGCAAGATTTTCTCAGGTAACCTAAGGAATGGAGAAACTCCAGAACTGATTCTCCTTTTCAAGTATTTCTTTCCCAGGATCAAAATTAGAGTTTAATCCTATCGACCTGAAACAGTGCACCTGTTGCCATGGTGCTAAGTCAGCTTTAAGATCCTGTGATACTGGATCCGAAGAAAAACCTCTTCCCTGTGGTCCGAGGGGTGTTTCTTTCACAGGGAAACGAAACCCCTGGAAGGAGCGGGAAGGGACGTCCGAAACCAGCTCACTGAGTCCCACAGGCGCCCAGAGGACCAGGGACTATTCCTAGGTCACCAGGGTGGCAGTGACAGGACAGGCCCGCTGGCTCCGTCCGGAATCTGTTCATCTCCCCAATACCATTCACTCTGAATGATTTTCATAGAAATTTGTGATAAAAAATGTAAGTACATGCCGAAACCGGTTTGGCTCAGTGGATAGAGCGTCAGTCTGCGAACTGAAGGGTCCCGGGTTCGATTCTGGTCAGGGGCATGTACCTTGGTTGCAGACACATCCCCAGTAGGGGGTGTGCAAGAGGCAACTGAACAATGATTCTCTCTCATCGATGTTTCTAACTCTCTATCCCTCTCTCTTCCTCCCTGTAAAAAGTCAATAAAAATATTTAAAAATATATATATACATATATAAGTACAGACTGGCCGGCATGACTCAGTGGTTGAGCGTCGACCTATGAGCCAGGAGATCATGGTTAGATTCCAGGTCAGAGCACAGGCCTGGGCTGCTGGCTCTATCCCCAGGAGGGGGCGTGTGGGAGGCAGCCAATCAGCATTAACGTTTCTGTCTCTCCTCCCTTCCTCTCTGAAATCAATAAAAATCAATAAAAAGACATTAAACATCATGTCCTGAGCACACCACTTCTTTCTGCATTGCTGAAACATCTATAATCTCCAGAAAACACAAGAGCTACACCAGCACTTTGGTTAACAGAATCTATTCAACTAAAACCCAGCTAAAATGCCCCCAGGCGTGTAGGACCTGTGGGCTTCGTCTTTTTACAGGGCATCGGGTTCCTGGTCCTACTGCTTAGAATGGGGGTGAAGTTCACTTTGGACCTGGCCTGAGAAGCTGCACCCTCTGACACAAACAAGCTAAACTGTCGATAACACTGAACTATCCGCCAGAGGGAAGAGCTAGGACCCAACAGACTGCACTCGGACCTGTGACAGATACACAACTTCCTAACGCGACGGCTGTGAAATCCTTGAATTGGATGCTGAAAAGGTCACATCAGGGAGGCAGTGTTTGAGACTCTGGTAGTAGTAGTTCGATTCCTCCTTATCCTTCAGGGAGGAAAATCGTTAGGACTTGAAACTAGAAAGGAACATGGCTATGAGCCTCAAAACATAGCTCCTTGGATCCCTAACCTCCAGACTGCCCCTCCCTTCTCCCCACCCTTCCCCCACTCATTCACCCATCCACCCACCAGCCCACCCCAAACGCAGACACCAGCACCCGTTAGTGCCCATCGATGCTGAGACATTCGCCATACGGATAACGGATTTTCCATTACACAGGTTATTTTTTTAAGTTCGGTACCCAAAGAATAAAACCCTAGCCCAGTGGTCGGCAAACTGCAGCTCGAGAGCCACATGCGACTCGTGACTAATGAGTTTGCCGACCACCACGTAAGGCATTACCCTTACCCAGAAGTTTTGACTTCAGGTTAAAGACATTAGTACATTATTAAAATGTTTTTTTAAGTGTTTTTCCCTAAGACAGTGGTCAGCAAACTCATTAGTTAACGGAGCAGCAAACCGAGGCTCGAGAGCTGCAGTTTGCCGACCACAGCCCTAGCCTACTGGAACCTCGTCACTGCTCTGAAGGTGGAGAGCGAAGAGAATCACGGACTGCTCTGTGGAACTTACCGTCATTCACCGTGCCCGGCGTCTTATCTCCTGCTTCCCTCTCACTGGACTCTTCGCTTACGGTAGAGTCAGCATCTGAGGGCGAGACTCTGCAGACACAAAGCGAGCGTAAGCGTCAGGAAACAGAAAGAAGAGGGAGGGGCAGGTCGTGCGCATCTGGATGTGGAAGTCAGGCTTCCAGGCAAGACTGGTAGAAATGAGGCAATCCAAAAAATTATCTCATGATCCAGCATCTCCAAGGACACGAACTGCACTTAGTTTCCCCTTGAAGACAGTGGAACAGTGCAGGAAACGGCTCAGCAGGCTGCATTTCAACAAATGCTAGCGAACCAGGGGCCAAACGAAGGGATGGACGGTCCTTCAGTGACCAGGGCCCTGGCTGGCAGTCTGGGTCTGGCTCGGGGTTCGTTGGGTCTGCAGAATCTCCAGGAAGCCAGGGTGTCTGCACTCACCCCACAGAACTCCAGGCCTTCGAAAGAAGCTTACACCTACATCCCCACCTGAGATCCGATGCCATAACTAAAGAGCAAGGGCAGTGAGGGGGCACCAGGCCAGTAAAAATCCACTGGTGAGAACCCCTCCCTTTGTGCTCCCTGGATGAAACAGCAGCGTGAAATGCCAACACACTCTGGTGCCCGTGAAGGATGCTAAAATATTACATTAACCACACAGGCCACTGAGATGTTGTGACTAAATGTTTAGGATGAGACTACAAGGGAAGAAAAGAAAAAAAAGACTCTGCAAAAATGTACCAGCATATTAATAATCCTTAATGATTTGATGTATGCTTAGCCTGCATGATAATTAAGCAAATAGCATCTCTCCCCTTAATGCAGTTTCCTTTGTAAAGATCACCTATTAAATTCTTAAAACTAGGCCAGAACCCCCAGGGAGGTCTTCTGATGTCAGAAATTATAACATCATTTCTTTTCTTTTCTTTTAATATATTTTATTGATTTTTCACAGAGAGGAAGAGAGAGATAGAGAGCTAGAAACATCGATGAGAGAGAATCATCGATCAGTTGCCTCTTGCACACCCCTCACCGGGGATGTGCCCGCAACCAAGGTACATGCCCGGAATCGAACCCGGGACCTTTCAGTCCGCAGGCCGACGCTCTATCCACTGAGCCAAACCGGTCCCGGCTATAACATCATTTCAAATACTGGTATGAGCCCACACTACTTTTTTCCTTTTAGCAGAAAACCAGGACCCAAAGTATCAAAGCTCAAGGACAGGCTGACAATTTAAGGCTTCAGTAGCCAACGTGTGACTGCGAGGATCTCAGGTCAACTTAATGAGGCCGACTCTGAGCGGACGGGGTCTCCTGTGATAGAGCCGCGGCCCTGCTCAGGGCATCAGGGTGAGGGGACCTCCGGGCAGTGTGTTATCCAGCAGCTCTCCGTGCACTGCACTGACAGGAGGAATGAAAATAAACAGATGGGAGCTGGGCCGGGAGCAGGTGGTGCAGAGTCCATGCAAACATACCAACAACGGTGGCATCAGCCGCCAGAGAGAAATCACGCAAAGATAGAAAGATGTGCCCAACCAGTGTGGCTCAGTGGTTGATCGTCAACCCATGAACCAGGAGGTCACAGTTCGATTCCCGGTCAGGGCACATGCCTGGGTTACAGGCTCGATCCCCAGTGTGGGGCGTGCAGGAAGCAGATGATCAACGATTCTCTCTCATCATCCTCTCTCTCTCTCTCTCTCTCTCCTCTCTCTCTCTGAAATCAATAAAAATGTGTTTTTAAAAAGACAGAAAGCTGTGATAAAGGAAGGTCACCTGCAGGCAGAGCAATGAGGGCAGGATGGGCCAGGACAAAGCCAACACTGGGTGTGTATCGTGTGCTATGCACCTTTCAGACATGGTTTCTGGTATCGTTTCCAGAAGGCCCGGCTTGTTCACCCAGGATATACAGTATACCCTTCAGCTGGCCAATCCCTAATCAAGTCACAGGGGGACGGCCAAACCACGCTGGACCGTGATTCGTCATCTCAAATGCTCTGGGGAAAGAGCGCGGACAGCCTCCGCCAGGGGCGGCCCCGGGCTCGCTGACTGTGGGAGAGCTGTGCTCAGTCTCCTGGGCTGCAGGCGAGGGCAACACTCTCCGCTGGCCCCTCTGATCCTGGAAATGGACAAACGGAAAACGGAAGCAGGCTTCACGACAGAGCACACCGCAGAGAGCCCCACACCCACCTTCCTCGCCGGCGCCCGTTCTTGGCGGGGACCTTGGCCTTGGGGCTGGGGACGTCTCCGTTTTCGGAGGGCGTGGTGTGGTCCTTCACGGGCCCCGGCAGCGGGGCGGGCTCGTGAATAATCAGGATGTCGTCCTTGTTGTGCTGCCCCAGGTGCTGCTTGGCGAAATCAAAGCCCTTCACGCTGGGGATCTGCAACTAAAACAGAGAGGCAGGTCGGTTGATGACGGGCAAGGAGCCCGTGAGGCTGGCGAGATCGCGGCTGCAGCTCCACCAACACCTCTGGAACGTCCAATGTGTACAAGGGGCCGTTGACACCTTGCACTTGCAGGAAAGATGGGTACTTGCAAAAACTTAAGGACCACGAGGATTAAATAGCTAGACCATACTAAAAAAGACACCCTAAGACGATCCCCAACCTACTGTCAGAGCAGCATAACCATGTGCTGTGCAATTCCAGAGACAGTGACACGGGCACCATGTTCCACAGAGAGATGGGGACCTGTGTCAGGACTCAGAGGACAGACAGAACTCAGAAATAAAGAGGTAGGACACAGAGCGTGACCTGGGCTGTGTCAGGGACTGGCGAACCCCTTAAGGCTGTGCAGAGATCTCATTCGCTGCTCCAGACGGGTCAGAATACAGGGAGTGAGAGAAGGCCGGCCTGCATGTGGACGATGCCAAATGCCAGCTTCTAGAGCAGAGAAGCCACTCCATGTTTCTAAAGAGGCAGATTTCTAAAATTCAAGCAGACGGGGCGCTTGGGACCGAGGAAAGGGGCCCAACAGTTCCACATGCATGGAATGACAAGAGTGGAGCCCAAAGTCTTAGCAAAGAAAATGGGAAGGAGGGAAGGAAAGAGGGAAGGAAAAAGGAGGGAGGAGGAGGGAGGAAGGGAGGGAGGGAGGGAGGGACAGGCAGAAGGGATTGGACACCGACCAGACACAAGAGGCAAAGGAGAGAGCAAGCCAGGGATAACCAACAGGGAACACAGAACAGTGGAAGTGACACCGAGGGGAAGGGGTGAATCATGAAGGGATGACGCCCTGAGGAAATGCAAAGTCAGGTTTTGCTTTAAACACGCTTGGGCTGAAATGGCAAAAAACAGCTCCAAAGGAAAGCAGCTGTGTGGCTGGAGCCGGAGGACAGAAGCCTGGGGGACGCCAGGCTGAAGATGCGACTCTGAGAGCATGTCTGGAAGGTGACCTGCGGGGGAGTTGACAGTTCTTTAAGATGAAAACAGCCCGTGAATAAAATGTTGGAGGACATCTAATAGTTTGGGACCCAGAGAGGAAAAAAGGGAGCCAAGAACAAAACAGAAGCCTACTCCAAAAACAAAACAAGAACGTGAACCATTCAATGTAATAGAAGTAAAGGGGGTGAAGAATTTATAGAAAGGAGAGTAATCAGGGCTCAGTGATGAGGAGGAAGGAGTCTTTGAAAAAGTCCACCTGTCACACTGGCATATGCAGGAGGCCTATGTCCCGATGAGACACCCACACCAAACCCACAGCTAAGACCCCACGAGCCTGCAACCACAGGTCCGGGCCTCAGCTTCTCAGCCTGTGCTAAGACAGGAGAGATGCTCGCGTATGTGGCTATGTGGACAGTAAAGGTGGGGCACCACTAGGGATTAACAGTTTCCTTAATTCGAGCTTGCAGAGCATCCTGTATAATCAAAGCCTAATATGCTAAGTGTCCGAACGTTCAACTGTTCAACCAGTCGCTATGATGTGCACTGACCACCAGGGAGCAGATGCTCCGGCCAGTAGGTTAGCTTGCTGCTGGGGTCCAGAATTGGGACTGGGCGGAACAGGCTGGACATGCCCTGGAGCCCTCCTGAGGTCCCTCCCCAGCCCCGATCGTGCCCTGGTGGGGTCCCTCAGCCTGGCTTGTGCCCTCTCGCAATCCAGGACCCCTCAGGGGCTGTTTGAGAGCTGGTTTTAGCCCAATTCCCACTGGCCAGGCCGAGGTACCCCACCCCCCAGTGCACAAATCCATGCACCGGGCCTCTAGTAGGACAATAAACTGCACATAAATAGTCATCTCAAAGGTCTCCTCAGTGCCAGCAGGCAGGCTACGTGCAAGACCAAGCTCTCTCGGCCAGGCTATGTCCCTCATCCACAGGTAGTCCTATCCGTCAGGAGGCATGGGCAAACCCATCTACGGAGTTATTTTAGCCAAGAGACCATGTGTAGAAGCACCAGGTTTTATGCACAGATGAGGAACAACACTAATGGCTTAGATGTGTGATCTCTATAACTCTAACCTCTTTTTAGCACTAAAAAATCCAGGATTAATGGGGGTCTGAGAGTAAGTCTGCAATCATGACTTAGGCCAGCAGAGGGAGACAAAACGTACTGTAACTACAGTTTACAAAGGTGTTGCTTGGAAACAAAAGGCAAAGGCTGGCCTGCCTATATTTTCTAAACCGATGATATCATGTTTCAGTGTGTGACTGCCACACACCCCTCGGCTCAGGAATGTTGCTTCGAAAACAATAAACCCAACCTGCTGCTCCATGGCTCTCCCCCCCACCCCAGATAAATCCTCATTTAGCACACCAAATCCCTGGGGTGCACACCTTTCTAGAGGCACGTAGTCCCCTTAAGGGAATCAAATTCCAGGTGGACAACCTCTTTCTATGCTCTCTCCTAACGTGATTTTCCTGAGGGCGCCGGTGGTGGGGGCACCAGGCCTGTCCCCCTGTCCAGCCTCCTTTCATAAAAGACCTCCTACTTTGCAGAAGAGAGACACACCTCTCATCCACGTGGCTGCTTCCCCGCAGCGACACCTCATTTTAGCTCCATAAACAGGGTGCCTCCGAAAGAGTAAGTTATAATCAACAGTCATCTAATCATCACCATCAACATCATCTTATCGATCCTGGTAAAACCCTTTTTGGTATATTCCCCAGTAAGAAAGTAAATGCCTCTGGGAAAGACTCTTTTATGAGGTAGATGGTTTGCTGTGTCAAAACTGAAGGAGAAGTCTTGGTTGGTGTGGCTCAGTTGGTTGTGCCAAAGGGTTCCTGGTTCAATTCCCGGTCAGGTGTCAGGCTTGATCCCTGGTGGGGGGCATGCAGGAGGCAGCTGATAGATGTCTCACTCTCACATCAATGATTCATTCTCTCTCTCTCTCTCTCTCTCTCTCTCTCTCTCTCTCTCTCTCTCCTTTCTCTCCCCCCCCCCTTTCCCTTCCTCTCTCTCTAAAGTTAATCATTATTTTTAAGTGGAAAAAATATTTTTTTTTTCATTTGAAGGAGGAGTCAGATTGGAGACCTCTTCTAAGCAAAGCTCTCCAAAGAGAATAAGAAAAAAATATGAACCCCACTGTCTCTATGGTGCAGCCTGTGTACCCCAAGTCTAAGAACTAAAGGCCTTCTCTGACCAACTCTCAGAGCTCATGAAACAACCAAATGCATGCATATGTCCAAGTACCTTACAAATGAGACCGACAGCATTCTTACTGCTCTTGGCTGATAAACACCCAGTCAGCTAAGCGTTCCCAGGCACCAGATAAAGCTGTGGATATACAACCTGATACAAACTTCCGTAATTCAGCCACCGGATGTGACACATGGTACACACTCTACAAACAGGAGATGATGGAAGGAATTTCAAAAAGGTCAGCTGACCCAGGACACCTACTGAATGTTGCGGGGAATCCAGAAAAGGGAGTCTGCCATAAATGAAGAGGACATCCACCACAGCCCTGAAGCCCTGCCGGCTTCTGGTCGATTCCCACTAACGTCTCTAAATACACCCATTCCATCCTCACACTCCCCACAGGCTCGGTGAGTCACCACCCTCCACAACAATAGAAATTTGGCAATTAATCTGTGCTTACGCACAAAACAAAAGCCATTTACACACAGAAGGAAAAAATTAAAGAAATCACTGCCCGGCCCCGCCCCCTCACTTATGGGATTAGCTACTTTCATTTCAACTCTACTTTCTGGTACACTTTTTCTAGTTTTTCTACTTCTTCTTCTTCTTCTTTTAAGAGGTGAGCATTTTCTTTTCTTTCTTTCCTTTTAATATATTTTATTGACTTTTTACAGAGAGGAAGGGAGAGGGATAGACAGCTAGAAACATATATGAGAGAGGAACATCAACCAGCTGCCTCCTGCACACTGCCTACTTGGGACGTGCCTGCAACCAATATATATGCCCTTGACCGGAATCGAACCTGAGACCTCTCAGTTCACAGGCTGATGCTCTATCCACTGAGCCAAACCGGTTTTGGCTATGTCTTCTTCTTTTTTTTAAATCTAAAGTTAAATCTAAACGTATTGTGTCTCCAGCTTCCATATGCAGAATAAACCTGAATTATTAGGTCTAGTAATAATTAATGTCGTTTTCTAATACCTTTTTAAAATCGAATTTATTTAAACAATACAACAAAATTTAATCAACAATATAGTTGCCGTTGTTTTCTACTACTTGTGCCCAAAGCTCAGGAAGCATTTTAATCCCTCTGTTGTAAAATTCTTGTGATTTTGATGCAAAAAATTCGGTCAATGCATTTTTGAGGCATTCTTCATTATTAAATTTTTTTCCAAGAAGAAAGTTTTGCAAAGAACGAAACAAATGATAATCGGAAGGGGCAATATCAGGAGAATATGCAGGTTGAGGGAGAACTTCCCATTCCAACTGGCGCAGTTTTTCAGCAGTGATTCTTGCAGTATGCGGTCGTGCGTTATCGTGGTGAAGAATTACGCCCTTCCGATTAATCAGCGCGGGTTCTTTTTCTCTTAAAGCTTGGGCTAACCTTTTCAATTGGGCACTATACACTGCACTTGTAATGGTTTGGTTAGATGGTAAAAGTTCATAATGAAGAATTCCTTTAAAATTCCACCAAACACACAACATCACTTTTTTCGCATGCAAGTCAGGTTTTGGCGTGGGCTGCGGAGCCTCATTTTTGTCCAACCATTGAGGCCGCCTTTTCAAATTAACATACAGCACCCATTCTTCATCTCCGGTAACAATTTGCTCTAAAAACGGCAAACGGTTTTGACGAGAGAGGAGCGAACTGCAAATTGTGACTCTTTGATTATGGTTGTCGGTCAACTCATGAGGAACCCATTTTCCAAACTTTTGGACTTTGCCAAGTGCACGCAATTGATTGGAAATTGTTTTTTGTGAACAATTTAAAGTTGTCGCAAGCTCTTGTTGGGTAATTTGAGGATTTTGCACCAAAAGAGCTTGAAGAGCTTCTTGATCAAAATTGGACACACGGCCTTTCGACCACTCTTGTCATCTAACAAAAAATTTCCCTCGCGAAATTTCTCAAACCAACGCTGGCATTTTCTGCTGCTAACTGCATCTTGACCAAGAGCACTACAGATGTTTTTTGCAGCCTCACTTGCTTTTCTTCCTAATTGGAACTCGTAAAGCATGCAGTGCCGAATATGCTCTTCATCCGCCATCTTCTTAGCCCTCGTTTTGCAACAAAAACTAAACCAAACACAAACTTTTTCAAGCAAAACTTGTTCATTGCACTTCACACGTTCTGTAGATACCACGTGTTTGAAGGTGATGTCAATACAAGTCAACGCCAAGCAAGATTTTAAACGAATGTTTGAAAACGACATTAATTATTACTAGACCCGATAGTATTTTATAAAAGAAGGGTAGTGATTAATTAGTGCATTAATATTCACATTAGGACCCTGTTACTTCTGAGTAAGGATAGCTATTTTGTTCCTTTTTTAAAAAAATTATGTTTTATTGATTTCAAAGAAAGAAAGTAAGGGAGAGGCCGAAACTGGTTTGGCTCAATGGATAGAGCGTCAGCTTGGGGACTGAAGGGTCCCGGGTTCGATTCCGGTCAAGGGTATGTACCTTGGTTGTGGGCATATCCCCTGTAGGGGGAGTGCAAGAGGCAGCTGATCGATGACTGTCTCTCATCGATGTTTCTAACTCTCTATGTCTCTCCCTTCCTCTCTGTACAAAATCAATAAAATATATATATTTTTTTTTTAAAAAGAAAAGAAAAAGAAAGTAAGGGAGAGGTAGAAACATCAATGATTAGAAAGAATCATCAATTAGCTGCCTCCTGCATGACCCCTCCCCGCCACTGGGCATTCAAGCCCCAAGCCGGGCATGTGCCCTGACAGGGAATCTAACCGTGACCTCCTGGTTCATAGGTCAACCTTCAACCACTGAGCCACCCTGGCCAGGTTGTTCCTCCTTTCTTTCATATAGCACAAAGGGGACAGGCCCAGGATCAGTACCCTGACTGAATACACCACTGACAAGCCATGGAGGCCTCGCGGAGCAGGTCAGCCAGGGAACAGGAGAGACGCCTGATGAGTTTTAAAACATGTGAGCCATACATATAGTACAAGACAGAGTGCAGTACCCGATGAGCTGAACCCCTGGGAAGGAACACTTAAGATGACAAAGGAAACCACAGAGCAATCCCAGCCGAGTCTAAATGAAAATCTGCGATCTCGAAGAGAACGCTGTTGTTGTTTAAGCGTTTTCAATTTGATGGCTGTGGCCTGTGAAAGCTCACTGCGACCGCGAGGACCAGACGAAGTTGTTACTGTGTGTGTGTGTGTGTGTGTGTGTGTGTGTGTGTGTGTGAGGTCTTGAGGTCGGGGAGAGCAGAGATCCACGATTCTGCCGCCCCCCAGACCACAGCAGGCCAGGGTCGCCTGACTGTGGGTGAACTAGAAACACCTACGTGAGGCCTCACAGGATCCTTGCAGAGAATCAAAGAGCAAGCACAGGGGCAAGCTGCACTTGGCTGAGCATCTCTTCCATCCATGGCCCCCGAAGTGACCATCCCGAACAGACAGATGCTCCAGCTACCCTCCCTGCCGAAAACCCTTCCGGGGTCCCCACTGCCTCCAACATCCCTCCGACCCCTCCCGTGTCCTACAAACTCTCCGGGCCTGGCTCTTGCCTGCCTCTGTCTCCTCAGCTTCGGCTGTGCCCTTCCATACGACCTAGTCCCAGCCTTCCTGAGCTCTGTCCCCTTCCCTCGCTTCCTCCCTGCCTGTCAGCCCGGCACCACCTCCTCTCAGAAGGCAGAGGCAGCGCCTCCTCCCGCTCCTGCAGCACCTGGAAGGCCCCACACCGTGACTGTGCAGCCGCTGTAGGCCTTGTCCTCCTCCCGTCCCAAAGCCCTCGAGAGCAGGACCGCATGTCCTCTGCGCCGTCACCCTGCCTGGCCTGCTCGACTCCGAGCACATGCTTAGTGTCTGGAGAATGAGCATGCGAGTCCAGGGCAGTTCCGCCGGGTTGCCCACAGGGCCAGCCGGCCGGGCACGGAGCTCCTGTCCTGCACCAACACCAGGGTGTGGCCTGTCCCCGACAGAAGGAACACGCTTCCAGGGGACCAGCAGGAGGTAGCCCACGCCATCTGCATCTTCAAACAGAACCTGTGCGGGGCCAGGCGGGGCCAAGCTGGCGTTCTGTGGGGAACAGTGACCGAGAGGGGACTTTGGGCTACAGATGACAGAGAGCACAGATAAAAACGAAGGCCCAGGTGAGGGCATTTTTATTATTAGAAAGAAGCAAGAACCCTGCTTCCAAATAGGACAGAAGGGCCTCTCCTGCAATCCTGTTTCAAACCTAATCTACCCCCAGACAATCTGAAGAGGTTTCCTTTTCCTTGCAGGGGAAGGGGGTGCGGATTTTTGCTCAACAGAGTTATTGTTTCCAGATGTTCGTAGCTCTGGGGTTTGCTACGAGACTTCGGAGTCGCAGGGAGGCAGCGTCAGGGGTGGGGCGAGCAGGAGGGAGAGAGGGAAAACAGAAAGGCACCCAGAAAAGCAGAGGAGGCCCTCCTGCCATCCCCTCGGTGACCGTCCTTCTCCTACTGAAAACACTTGCACGGTCTAGACGGGGGCAGGGGAGGGGGAGGGACGGGGGCTCCTGTCCTGGCAGAACAAAGCCGGTGCTTCTGAACCGTCAGGGTGCTGCCCTCCGAGGAGGCTCCACGCAGAAGGCCTTCCCTGTAAACGCGCTGAGCAACTCGGAAGGCTGGCGCTTCCGCTGGAAACCCGGCCCCTCCGCTTCACAGCCACATCTGGGACGCGACAATGTTTCGGAAGTAAACGTGGGAGGAGGAGAAAGCTTGGGGGCTGCCCTGTTCTGAGCTCAGAGACGCTGCCCTCCCATAGCTTCTTGGAGTAACAGACAGCGGACGGACTCCCACGGTGAGTGTTTACGTTAGAAACTGGGGAACAAGAGACCTAAATGTACTACCCTCTACACCAGGCGTCCTCAAACTTTTTAAAGTGGGGGCCAGATCACGGTCCCTCAGAGAGCTGGAGGGCCGGACTATATGAACTACTAATTCCTACTGTAACACCTCGGCTGCGCTCACTGCCCAAAAAACCTGGAGGGCCGGATCAGACTCCTCTGCGGGCCACATGTGGCCCGCGGGCCGTAGTTTGAAGACCCCTGCCACTGATCACATCTCTCTGAAACAGGACTCTGCACCAGAACAAAACATTTCCAAATCTATTGCTGATCTCCTCACAATGAAAGTCACACTCTGAGTCATTTGGAATAGCAAGGAATTTTTTTTCCGTGCCATGCGTTTGTCTAACAACAAACAAAGTAGGTAAAAAAAAACAAAACACATGAAGACACGTCACAGCTAGAATATCAAAGTATAAAGTGCTTCCATCATACTTGATAACCATATACTTGCAACTTAATCAGGATCTTGCATTTCTTAGTTAATTCATAAGAAAAAGAATGCTCTTCATTTACTTTTACAGACATGAAATAAATGTAAAAACAATATTTTTTTCATTCAGTGAGTCTAGGTTTGTCATGCCCAGAATTTTTTTATACTCACACAATCAGAATAAAATTCAAAGGTGAGCCCTGATGGTTTGGCTCAGTGGATAGAACGTCAGCCTGTGGACTCAGGAGTCCCAGGTTCGATTCCGGTCAAGGGCATGTACCTTGGTTGCGGGCACATTCCCAGTAGGGGGTATGCAGGAGGCAGCTGATTGATGTTTCTCTCTCACCGATGTTTCTAACTCTCTCTCCCTCTCCCTTCCTCTCTGTAAAAAAATCAATAAAATACATATTTTTAAAAATAAATAAATAAATAAAATTCAACGGTGAACAAGGCAATTCTTTGTTTCTTACTTGCTTTTTCTTATCTAACTTGTAGAGCTGAGTGAGCCCTCTAACTTTTTGAGTAGAAGGTGCATGTTAATAAATACATAGGTTCCTGATCACTTCCCATTCCCTCAGCAACGGCTGATCACACGTGATGATCCCTAAATGTCGGCAGGGTGTGAGTTCCCTGGTACTTGGCATGTTATTGCTCACACCGGGTGAATGAGATACCGGCCAAGAGTCAATATCCTTGCTCTGAAGCTTGCATGTGACAATTAAATACTGCAGAAGCTGGTGAACCAAGTGAGAAGAGACTTGCTACTACTATAAAAACGAAACTGACTGCTTTAGGAAGACTGGGACAAGGAGCTGTTGTCCAAGGAGGAGTCAATATGAAAAGACTGCAGGGAAGGGGGAAGGAGGATTAAAAAACCTGGAGAACTTGGCACTCAGGTTGCTCTGCTTTTCTCTAAAGAAACCCAAACTGGAAACTGCACTGATGGGCATTTATTGTAAGACAGACCACAGGGGATTGTCCTCAGTAGACAAATACTAAAAAAAAAAAAAAAAAAAAAAAGATGACGTCAATTCAATACCTATTCGTGTATGTTAGGTTAAAATGCTTAAGGCACGCATTACCATTCTTTAATGACTAAGTGCTCAAGGTGGACGGGTGAGCTTGCAACAGGTGCATGGAGGGAAGGGATGTATGGAAGACACAGACACACAGATTTGAGGAAAATCTCTCTTTGCTCCTGTTCTCCGAGGATATCCGGGGTTAAAAGAAATTAGAAAGCATACCCAGAACAGATAAGAGATCTTCAAACCGCTGGTCTCAAAAACAAAACCTCAGTGGAAGTCTGTGGTTCTCGGAGGCCTGGCTGAGCCTTTGCCCGGCTTCACCTCCGGCACACAGTTAACACTGCAGGAGAGCTGGGTCTCGGCAAGCAGACGTGAAGGCAGAGGGACACCACCATCAACGCCAAAAGACGTCCCTGCTAGCTCTCTTTCAGTATCGAGAGCCTGAGCTCCCCCTCCCCTGCCGGGATTCGCCCCTCACCTTCTGGCGCTGCTGGATGCTGGCCACGGCGTCGGGCTGGAAGTCCAGCTTGTCCGTGCGGCAGAGTTTCCAGTAGAGGATGACGACGATCACCATGACCACCAGCACAGGGATGACCACGCCCACAATGACCCACAGGTTGTTGCTCTGGGACTCCGGCGCCGGCCGCTTCACCCTGTCCACGGCTGCACACAGGAAGGAGGGTCTCTCAATAGCACGCTCCCGGGGCAGCCCTTCAGGCAGGGGGCGTGCCTTCTTCCAGGCCAGCGGCCGGCAAACTCATTAGTCAACAGAGCCAAATATCAACAGGACAACGACTGACATTTCTTTTGAGAGCCCAATTTTTTAAACTTAAACTTCTTCTTTCTTTTTTTTTCTTTTTTTTAAATATATTTTATTGATTTTGTACAGAGAGGAAGGGAGAGAGACACAGAGTTAGAAACATCGATGAGAGAGAGTCATCGATCAGCTGCCTCTTGCACACCCCCTACTGGGGATATGCCCGCAACCAAGGTACATGCCCTTTTCCGGAATTGAACCCAGGACCTTTCAGTCCCCAAGCCGACGCTCTATCCATTGAGCCAAACTGGTTTCGGCTAAACTTAAACTTCTTCTAACGCCACTTCTTCAAAAGAGGCTCGCCCAGGCCGTGCTATTTTGTGGAAGAGCCACACTTCAAGGAGCCAAAGAGCCGCATGTGGCTCGAGAGCCGCAGTTTGTCGACCACGGTTTTAGGAGACACCTGGGAAGTTCCTGTCATTTCAGCCCAAGATAGTGGGTTCAAGGCTGTGATCTCCTGAGCACAGGAGACGCAACCAAGGAAGCAAAAGTTCTACGGTGAACAGGTTGGGGGTCACGGTGAGAGGCATGATGTGCCTGAAGCAGCTTGGCTAATTCGATGGCGAAGCGAGGTTAACGCCAGATCTCCTGACGTTCCGTTGATTCTACCAGCTCCCCCTCAGTTCTCACTGCAGGAATGCTTCCATGCCAAAAAGCAGAAATCCTAATATAGGATTTATTATATAGGCTACGAGCCCTGCCTAATCTCTTCACCTGTGACTCTCCCTAAACCCTTGAAACATGGCTTTTAATTGATTTACCCAAGGGACCAGCTGCCAATATTAAAATCATATTAAATCACTTCCTTTCTCACTCCCTAGGCACCTTGGCGGTGGCTCTTGGTTGGGGGCCACCCCACACCCAGCGCAGGAAGATGGTGGCCACCAAGAAGACAGAAAGTCACGGGAGCCGATCAACTCTAGGTCCCGGCACGTTTTGAGAAGTGGCCAGTACGATCGGACAAGGCAAAGCGAAACTGGTCATCCTCGCCAGCGGCACCCGACCTCAGGAGACCCGAGACAGAGACTGTGCCGTGTCGCCCGGACGCGGGTCCATCGCCGCCGTGGCAGGAGGACCGGCTGGGCACAGCGTGTGGAAAACACGGAGCGTGCAGCCCGGCCGGCACGGATCCGGGCGGTTCTGAAATCATGAGAGGCAGGCCAGGACAGCCGGGTGAAAAGGCAATCGTGCAAAAATGTTCTTTAATAGAAACTGGCCAGGGCTTGTTTTTAAAATAATAATAACGCTGAAGTAAAAGTAAGTCAAGCTTACTTAGAACCCACCCTTCCTGCCACCCCCTCCCCAGCCCCCCATCTCCCATGGCCTTAGACAATTATGGCTCCATTACTCTGTCCTTCTCAATTTCCTTCATCAGCTCCTTCCCCCAACCCTGCCTCCCACGGCTGGGCCCTCCATACGCATCCCTCCGAGGACTCCGCTTTCTTAAAGCTCAGGTTCCAGGCACCGGCTCAGAAAACCAAAATACCCCTCCTCAGTGCCCACCTCCTCATCTGCGGGGGCTGACTCAGAACCACCTCTCACTGATGTGAGAGCAAAACACTGATTGGTTGCCTCCTGCATGCCCCTCCTGGGGACTGAGCCTGTAACCCAGACATGTGTCCTGACTGGGAATCAAGCCAGCAACCTTTGGGTGCACGGATGACACCCAACCAACTGAGCCACGGCAGCCAGGACCAATTCACCTTTTTAAAAGGTGAAGTGTTTCTCTGGAGTGCCATACCTCTCTGACAACCAGGAATGTCACATATTAAAAAAATGTAAGTGCATGCTTTAATTTTTCTCACTGCTTTGAAACAGAACACCAATGGTTATTTGCTTTAAGTCACCTTTTATAAAATGGAGAAAGTGTGCCCATTAGCCCTCATCCTGGTTAGTGTCCAGGGACAAGTATAGATTTCATGAAGAATCCTCCATTGCCAAAAATCATTTCAAAACTGCCATTTTAAAAACTACGTATTTGTTCTACAGAGTTTTCCAATGTTCTCTGATGCTGAGTCCCTTCTAAACAGTTACTTACCCTTTACTGTTAGGGGCAAGTATCACTGAGCTTTTACAAGGTTTGCTCTCAGGATCATAAAGGAAAAAGAGTCACATTAAAATAGCAGTCTAGCCCTAGCTGGTTTGGCTCAGTGGATATCGCGCCGGCTTACAGACTGAAGGGTCCTGGGTTCAATTCTGGCACATGCCTGGGTTGTGGGCTCGGTCCCCAGTAGGGTCCTGCAGGAGGCAGCCGATCAATGATTCTCTCATCATTGATATTTCTATCTCTCCCTCTCCTTTCCTCTCTGAAATCAATAAAAATATATATTAAAAAAATAGCAGTCTGATTCATAAAAGTATATTTAGAGAGAAATACACTCTTCTGTGCCACTCCTTTTCTTAATTTTAAATACCAAAATCTGTGAGTTGAAAAAAAAGTAACGAGAGCAGCCTTTGCCAGGAGACAGGGGCCTCGTATCTTCCAAAAATAATAAAGAAAACATCAAAATAACCTCTTTCTAAATAGTGGAGCGGTGTGAGGCTAGGGTGGGAGGCACACAGAGTGGAAAGGGTGAGGATCAAGGGCTGCTTTGTGCTGAAAGTCCCAGAAGGAAGCCAATCAACGCAGAGGGCACCGCCCAGCTTCCTGCGTGACTCACTGTCCCCACCAACGTTCAAAGCAACATGTAAGATTCTGGAATAAATACAGAGAAAACACCTTATTTTACCTAAGACAAATTTCTAAAAAGAGAAATAGGAGCAGAGTAGGGGAAAAAGTACCAACGTTAACGTAGGTTACTATAACCAATTAGCAGGGCTCGATGAATACAAAATGCTAGGTAGAAAAAACAGCCGTGAAGGCTCTCACCACAAGCAACTGAAACAAAGAAGGTTCTTTCAAATACATTCTAACAACGGACATCTTATGCAAGTGTCATTTAATAATACGGGTGGGCCCTGACCGGTCTGGCTCAGTGGATAGAGTGTCGGCCTGTGGACTGAGGGGTCTCAGGTTCGATTCCTGTCAAGGGCATGTACCTTGGTTGCGGGTACATCCCCAGTAGGAGGTGTGCAGGGGGCAGCTGATCGATATTTCTAATTCTCTATCCTTCTCCCTTCCTCTCTGTAAAAAATCAATAAAATTAATTATATTTTTAATATTTTAAATTTAAAAAAAATTTAATTTAAAAAAATAAAATAAATTAAAAAAAAAAAATACGGGTGGAAGACATACGTCTCCGAGCGCCACATAAGAATGCTTTAGTTCAGAGGTCACTGTCAGGGGAAGTAGCACAGATGGCTACCAGGGGCCGAGCCTCGGCACTCACGTTGGGCCACGGCGCCTTGAATCCGGTAACCCAAGATGATGGCCGCCCTCTGGATGTCTATCTTGTTGATCAGGTCCGAAGACTTGACGGCGCTGAGTCTCTCCCCGTCTCGGTCCTCCACAAAGTAGATGAGCTGCACAGGATCGTCATCTCCCTCCAGCCGCGACACGTTCACCACCTGAAAGACAGCCGGAACCACCGGCCTTTTAGGAGCTCATGTGTCCAGAGGCCCTCTCCCTGGGCGCTCGGCCTTGACTGTGTTCTTCAGCATTGATTCGTCCTCATCCTAAGCTCCTTACATCATTTCAGGTTCCGGAATCCCTACAATGCTCTCTGGATGGGGAGAGGGACCATTAAGAGGAAAGTTCCTCTGTGTAGAATAACGAGGGAGCTTCGGATCGCTCAAAGGCTTCTGTGAGACACAAGGCCAGGAGGGTACACAGACACAGCTTGCCAATCCAGGAATCTACCAGGAAGCTCCAATGTGTCCTGGGAGGATGTGCCTGTCCTCCTAGCATCCACCACAAAGGCATATTATTCCTGGTTCTATCTAATTGCTTCTGGAATCTGTTAGTCTTTTCTCTCAGTTCTTCTGGGGCAGGGCTTCTCAACATTGGTACTGCCCCTGTTTCCCCGAAAATAAGACAGTGTCTTATATTAATTTTTTCTCCCAAAGTTGCACTAGGTCTTATTTTCAGGGGATGTCTTATCTTTCCATGTGCTAGGTCTTATTTTCAGGGAAACACTGTATTGCCATTTCGGTCCTTATAATTCTTAGATGTGAAGGTCTGTACGGAGCACTATAAGACATTCAGAAGCATCCCTTCCCTGTTCTTGCCAGAAGCCAGAGGTAACAGCCACGCTCTCCCTCAGCAGTGGTGACAAGCAGAACGTCTCCAGGCCATTGCCAAAACATGCCCTGGGAGGAGCAGAATCATCGCTGTTTGAGAACCACTGCTCTTGGGATAAAGACTCTCACACATTCTTTAAGACTCCGCCCTCAATAAGGATAGATCATTCAGAGAAATAATCAATAAGGAAACAGCAGATTTGAACAACACTACAGACCAAAGAAACCTGAGAGAGAGAGACATAAAATTACATCCAATGGCAGAATACACATTCAAGTGCACACAGAACATTTTCCAGGCTAGACCATATACTAGGCCACAAAAATAGTATCAACAAATGCAAGAAATTTTATCAATACTCTTTCCCATCCACAATAGTGAAATTAGAATCAATAATAGAAGGAAAGCTGGAAAATTCACAAATACGTGGAAATTAAACAACACACTCCTGAAACAACCAATGGACCAAAGAAAAGATCAAAAGAAAAATAAGAAAATGTCTTAAAACAAATGCAAGCAGAAACACAACATACCAAAACTTATGAGATGCAACAAAAACAGTTATAAGAAGAATGCTTATAGCTATAAATGTATACACCATGAAAAAAAAATATTTCAAATAAGCAACTCAAGGAACTACTAGTAGAATATGAAGAAAAAACTAAACCCAAAGTTAGCAGAAGGAAATAATAAAAATTATAGCAGAAATAAACCAAATAGAGAACAGGAAAACAAGAGATTAACAAAATGAGTTGGTTCTTTGAAAAGATAAACAAAATTAACAAATGTATAGCTACACTAACCAAGAAAAAGTGAGAGTTCTCAAAAATTATAAATGACAGAGAAGGTATTACAACATATACCACAGAAATAGAAAGGATCAAAAGAGACTACTATAAATAATTACACACCAACAAATTGGACAATCTAGAAGAAATGGATTAATTCCTAGAACCATACAAACTACCAAAACTAAATCATGAAGAAGCAGGATATCTGAACAGACCAGTAACAAGTAAAGAGATAGAAGCAATAATAAATAAATAAAAATTCCCAACAGAGAAAAGCCTAGGACCAGATGGGTCTCACTGACAAATTATACCAAACATTTAAAAAGAGTTAACACCAATCCTTCTCAAAAATTTCCCAACAATTGAAGAGAAGGGAATGCTCCCAAATCTATTTCATGAAGCCAACATTATCCTGATACCAAAGTCACTGTCAGAAAAGTAAACTAAAGATCAATATATCCAATGAACATAGATGCAAAATTTCTCAACAAAATACTAGCAAACCAAATTCAACAGCACATTAAGAGGATTATACACCATGATTAAGTAGGCTTCATCCCTGAAATGGAAGGATGGGTCAATCTCCTTGCGTCTCAGGGAGGAGTCAACATTTGCAAATCAATAAGTGATACATCACATTAATATATGAAAGCTAAAAATCATAAAATCATTCAATAGAAGTAGAAAAAGCATTTGACAAAATTCAACATTCATTCATGATTTTTTTTAAAAAACACAACTCTCAACAAACTGAGTATAGAAGGATCATACCTCAATACGGTAAAGGCCATATATGACAAATCCATAGCTAACATCATATTCAACCATGAAAGATTGAAAACTTTCTAAGACAAGGATACCTACCCACTCTCACTACTCCTATGCAACACAGTACAGAAAAGTCCTAGCCACAGCAATCAGGCAAGAAAAAGAAATAAAAGGCATCCAAATCAGAAAGGAAGATGTAAAATTGTCTCTGCTTGCAGATGACATGATCTTACATATTAAAAAACACCTAAAGACTACCAAAAAACTATTAAAATAAATGAATTCGTAAATTTGCAGGATACAAAATCATCACAATGAAATCAGTCATGTTTCTATAAACTAACAATGATCTATATGAAAAAGAAATAAAGAAAATAGCCCTAACGGGTGAACTCAAGGGTCCCAGGTTCAATTCTGGTCAAGGGCATGTACATTGGCTGCGAGCATATCCCCTATGGAGGTGTGTAAGAGGCAGTTGATCAATATTTCTCTCTCATTGATGTTTCTAACTCCCTCTCCCTCTCCCTTCCTCTCTGTAAAAAAAAAAAAAAAAAAAAACAATAAAATATATTTTTTTAAAAAAATAAATAAAAAAAATAGTGCCATTGATAATACCATCAAGAATAAGAAAATACTGCCGAAACCGGTTTGGCTCAGTGGATAGAGCGTCGGCCTGTGGACTGAGGGGTCCCGGGTTCGATTCCGGTCAAGAGCATGTACCTTGGTTGCGGGCCCATCCCCAGTGGGGGGTGTGCAGGAGGCAGCTGATCGGTGATTCTCTCTCATCGATGTTTCTAACTCTCTATCCCTCTCTCTTCCTCTCTGTGAAAAATCAATAAAATATATATATTTTTTAAAAGAATAAGAAAATACTTAGGAACAAATTTAGCCAAGTGAGTGAAAAATATGTACACTAAAAATTTTAAGACATTGATGATTGAAGAAAACACAAATAGAAAGATATCTAAAAAAATTAATATTGTTAAAATGTCCATATTATCCAAAGTAGAGATTCAATGCAATCCCTAACAAAATTCCAATGGCATTTTTTACAGAAATAGAGAAAATAATTTAAAACTTCATAGCAAACCACAAAAGACACTGCCGACCAAGGAGCCAAGAATACTCAATGGGAAAAGCTAGTCTCTTTGATTAATAGTGTTAAGAAAACCGGATATCCACATGCAAAAGAATAAAACTGGACCACTCACAAAATTAGTTCTTAATGGGAAGACTTAAGGGAAAGACCTGAAACCATGAAACAACGAAAAAAGCTCCTTAACACTGGTCTTGGAAAAGATTTTTTTAGATATGATACCCAAAGCACAAGCAACAAAAATAAAAATAAACAAGTGGAACTACATCCAACTAAGTACTTTCTAGACAGCAAAAGAAACAATCAACAAAAATGAAAAGGCAACCTATGGAGTGTGAGAAATATATGCAAATCATATATCTGATACAGGTATAATATCCAAAATATACAAGGAACTCATACATTTCAATAGAAAAAAAAAACTGAATAGACGTTTTTCCACAGAAGATATACAAATGCCAACAGACATAGGAAAAGGTGCTCAACATCTTAGTCATCAGAAAAATGCAAATCAAAACCACCATGAAGTATCACCTCATACCCATTAGAATAGCTAATATCAAAAAACAAGAGATAAGTGCTGGTAGGATGTTATAAAAAGGAACCCTAGTGCACTGTTGGTGGGAATAGAAGATGGTGCAGCCATTATGGAAAATAGTAAGGCAGTTCCTCCAAATTTTAAAAACAGGACTATCATATGATCCAGCAATTATACTTCTGAGTATTTATCCAAAGGAAATGAATTCACTATGTTAAAGAGGTATCTGCACCCTCATATCCACTGCAGCATTATTCACAACAGCCAAGACATGGAAGCAACATAAGTGTGTATGTATGGGTGAACAGACAAAGAAAATGAAGCATACATTAAAAAAAATGGAATAATATTCACCCATAAACATAGCAGGAAATCCTGTCATTTATAACAACCTGAATGGACCTTGACATCAATATGTCAAAGATACATACTGTATAATCTCATCTATATGTGGAATGTTAAAAAAAAAAAAAAGGCAACTCAGAAAGATTAGATTGGTGGCTTCCAGAAGCTGGGCCTGAGGGAAATGGGTAAAGGTTGTCAAAGGGAACCAACTTCCAGTTCTATGTCTGGGGATCTAAGATCCAGCATGGAGAATGCAGTTAATGATACTACGCTGTATACGTAAATGTTGCCAAGAGAAGAGATCTTACACGTTCTTACCACACACACACACACACACACACACACACACACACGTAACTATGAGCAAGGGGTGTACTAACTAACCTCACCATGGTAATCATTTAATCATTTCATAATATATACTTATATCACATCATCCCATTGCACATCTTACACAATGTCCTACATCAATTGTATCTCAATCAATACATAATTTGCTGGATCAAATAGTGCTTTGATTTGTTTCAAAATCAGTATCTCCCTGGTGTTCAGGATAGTCCTTTACATTAGCACTTCAGAAACTGGTACATTTGATACGTCACAGTTTTACATAAACAGAGCTTTCTATTCAGTTGCTATTTCTCATATTAATATGCAACGATTCCATTGCCCATTCAGACTCCAGCAGAAGGCCGACTGATGTTCTGAATAAGTGGACAACCATGACTCCGAGTCCTCTGTTTCATACACGCAGTTAGAATCTTTGGTCTCGACACCTGCTATTGGCTAAAGAGCTGCCGCTTCTCTAGCCACATGTAACACTGCTTTGCACTCCAGACACGGCTGCTGGACTCCCTCACTGCTGGAAACTTCTGGCCAATCAACAACTGCATGATTCCACTGCAAACACCTTCTTATATAAAGATCCTTAACAACACGGGTCCCAACCCTCCTCCCTGGAGAAACCATTTTTTATGCCTCTCCATCCTGAGGTGTGCTCATCTGTCCTGCCCCTGTGGTATCTCTAGACCAGTTACCCGACCACTTCTGTTCCCTAACCAGCCACACCTGTCCCTGAATGGTATTAATTTTCTATTCGCCTTCAGGATGACTATTAACAAAGGGCTACTAAAAAGCAAGTAGACTGGGGAGGGGGTGTGGTGGGAAGAGTCAACTGGGGAAAAAGGAGACATATGTAATCCTTTAACCAATAAAAATAAAAAGTAAAATAAAAAGCAAGTCGATTACACCCTTACGTCCCTCCACCTATGTGCCTATTTATTCCATCAAAATGTTCTGATACATTTTAGAAATGGTTTCTTCTCAGTAACCATTTTTCTAATTTCCAGTGATACCCACCTTAAAGATTCTACAGAGCTTGTCTGATCCAAAAATAACAGTCAGTAAAAGCTAATTCCAGCATCTTTTCTGGATGAACTCTTATCAGGCTTATAGCTGGAATCCATGCAACTATGGTGTGATAGAGTCATCATTTTGGGTAACATTTTCAATTTCATTTTTAAAGTTATTTTCTGATTAAAATCACACGTTCACTATAGAAATTTTGAAAAGCACGAAGGAAAATGTATAATGAGTAAAATGAAAATCACCTCAAATTCAACCAACCAAACAGAATCACTGTAAATGATTTTGACATATTTCCTTCCATTAATTTTTTTCATGGGTTTTACATTATTATTTGGATTAAATTGCATATATTCTTTTATAGCCTCTCTTCACTTGAAGATTTTTCTATATTGCTCACTAATTCAAAAAAATGACAATGGCTGCACAATATTCCAACATAGAAAAAGTCATGACCATCTATTTACCCATTTCCCAGATGCTGGGCATTTAGATTACTTTAATCCTGTCACTTGTACAAATACATCTGAAGAGTCCTGCTCTGCACATAAGTCCTTGTCTCAAACACAGATGAGAAGCAAGGCATGGTTTCTAAGCAAGCCATTGAATGCCACCATTACCATGGGGTGGCATGGTTAATGTTCACAAACCCAATATTCCTTACTGAGCCTTCCAATCTAATGTAGCACCACATCATGTCATGTGCTGGTGCTTTATAACTGCACTGTGTGCATTTATTAACCTCTACCCAGACCATGAGCTCTATGAAGCCAGGGTTATTGAGTAAGGCCAACCTTTTATAATTCATTTTCATTTTTATTTATTTTATATTCACATATATTTGTTTTACAGTTATGTTAATTAATATTACTCTCAATTTTTTTTTAGTTTTTTAAGTTCCTCTATATTCTTTTTTTTTTTTTTTAATCCTCACCCAAAGGTATTTTTCCATTGATTTTTTTTTAATACAACCCTATTTATTTGAGAGAGGAAGGGGGAGAAAGAGAAAGATAGAAACATCAATGATGGGAGGAAATCATTGATTGGCTGTCCCCTGCATATTGGTCCGAGCCTGCAATGCAGGCATATACCCTTGACTGGAATTGAACCTGGGACCCTTCGGTACGCAGGCCGACGCTCTATTCACTGAGCCAAACCGGCTAGGACAAGTTCCTCTAAATTCTATGGCACCTGGCAAAGGCACTATTTTAGAAACCTAAGCATCACCTCTGTGGAAGGGGAAATAAAGAGCAATGCTTACAGGGGGAAACCTGGTAAAAGAGATGGGGGACAATGATGCTAGCTCTAGTCCAACAAACCCCCCCTCCCACTCCACCCAAGCATCAGTTCTCCATTCTTCCCTCTAATGCTGCTAAACCATCAACCTCCCACCCCGACATGTCTGGGTTCCACCCTGGTTTCCTGTCTGGAACGCCACAGTCCTAAATATCCCATTTTCCTAGCTCTGCAAGCGGCAGTCGGTAAAGGAAAATTCCAAAATAACATTAATGCACCTTGAGATGGAATATATCACAGCCCCAACCTCCAACTCACTGTGAGCCTGTGCACTTGAAACTGGGTCACTTTCTGACTCAAATGGATCTGTCATTTGTAACCTCTCTGCCAAGTGACAGGGTAAAGAACATCTGGGCAATATGAGACAACCAGGGGTGGCAGGAGGAGGCAGGAGGAGGCGCCAGAATAGAGGGCAGGACATTTTCCTCTTTCGGATCTCTTATGTATGGCCTGTTCCCGATGAACGGTTCTCTCTGTGATGCTATGAGTAACGTTACCATTCTACAACTGATTCCATTCTGGGCGTTAAAAAATTACTTTCTGAAAAATAAGGTCATCTGATGGCAATCCACTAACACAATCCTCTCGCTGTGCTCCCCATACGGTCCATTCCTGTACCGACCCCCTCCTGAGGACTCGGGAAATATGTGTCTAGACTCTGGTTGAACTGAAATGCTACTCCACTCAGGTGCCACCTTACTATAGCCATCCACCTCAACCAGAATTTCCTCCTTTGCATGAAAACAGGGGACAGCGTCAGCCTGCTCTCCCCCCTCTCCTCGGGCCTCCCAGTACCTGCACCACGCTGTTCCCGGCCGCCACGGTGGCCCTGCGCCACACCCGCCTCCGGGCAGACGCCTCGCTCAGCAGCTGGGCCAGCTTGCGCTCCATCTCGGCTGGAAACACTTCGTTCTGCAGCTGCTTCTCCACGACGCCCAGGAGCACTGCATTCAAATGGAAACACACACGGGCCCCACAGCGCGTCAGCGGTGGAGGGAAACACGGGGGAGTGTGTAGAGAACGTGGCACAGGGCTCCTGTAAACTGCCAATCCCTAGAGCAGCAGAGATTTCCAACCTTTTCCAACTCATGGCACCCATAAACTAATGACTAAAATTCTGCAATAGGGCAATCTGAAGGTAAAAAAATTAGTGTAATTTTGACTCATTCACACCAGACGGCTGTTGCTGTCAGTTGTTTATTTGAGGGGAAAGAGGTCAGTGCCCCTGACTAAATAAGCATGAGTACTGCATGCTTTTTTTGTTTTTGTTTTTGTTTTTTAATATATTTTATTGATTTTGTACAGAGAGGAAGGGAGAGAGATACAGAGTTAGAAACATCGATGAGAGAGAGTCATCAATCAGCTGCTTCTTGCACACCTACTGGGGATATGCCCACAACCAAGGTACATGCCCTTGACCGGAATCGAACCCAGGACCTTTCAGTCCCCAAGCCGACGCTCTATACATTGAGCCAAACCGGTTTCGGCGAGTACTGCATGTTTTAAAAATTCTTGCCAAAACTGGTTTGGCTCAGTGGATAGTGTTGGCCTGCAGACTGAAGGGTCCCAGGTTCAATTCTAGTCAAGGGCATGTGCCTTGGTTGTGGGCACATCCACAGTAGGGGGTGTGTAAAAGGCAGCTGATGTTTCTAGCTCTCTATCCCTCTCCTTTCCTGTAAAAATTCAATAAAAAATAAAAAATAAAAATAAAGAAGGGGGGTAAAGCGAGGGAGAATCCCGGAAGCGCTGCTCACGGGCCTTGTCTACAGTTCCCAGCTCCATGTGTCACAAGGCCTGATGGCCAGAAATCCCAGAAGCTCAGGGATGCACAGGGGCTTTGGGACCACGAGGGCCTGCCCAAGATCAAGCATTTTATCTGCACTTATTTTCAAGATTTCTGGAAATGGCTTACATTCATATCTTGTCTCATAAACTGACTCGAGATAAGGTGCCTGTCTTCAGACATCTGCTGTAAACAAGATTATCTAAGCAGACAATCTGCCAGATTTTCTGCTCAGCCAGCACTGGCTCAAATCCCCTGAAACAGGACCATGGGCAAGCCAGTGAGCCACTATGGAAACTATCTGGGAAATGAGACCACGGTACCAGGCAGAGGTGGGGCCTCTGCATGGAATGCTGTATGTGAAGCAAGGAGGACCTGCAGGGTCAGGAACGCGTCCACGGTGACTGTCACCATCCGTGTGCCTCCTCCTGTGACTAGCTCCTCACGGTGCTGCCCACACTCTGGGCGCCCATGAGCAGGTTATCACCTCTTACACTTCCATATAACCAGGTTAGGACGTCTCGTTAGCAACGCCATCGATGAAAATCTCTGACCCAGGTCTCTACGACTTTAAAAAAAAGGTTTCTATTTGCTCACCAAGTTACCTTACTTGTCCTTATAAAACCAAACACATAAAGACTTTTAGAGAAAGAAAAAGAAAGAAGAAAAAAGATCCTTGCTTCAGAGCCTCATCCTATTCTGGGTCAGAATACTGTCGGTTCCTGTTAAGGCTGCCCTAGACTTGATATGTTGAATTTTAGAGAAAGCCAACCCTTTTTGGGCCATAACTCAGTGGGACACATTCCACAGTCAAATCTAAATCCCTTTCTCATTCATTCTTTGCCAAGAACTTAAGGTACATTTTGCCCTGAATTTAGGACTGAGAAACAGGAAAGGCACAATCATTCTTAATATCCCTGCACAGACTTCTTATTATTCCAGTTCCCAAAATATGGTGTAACGTTAAACATACCTGTTCTTACCCAGGAGGACTTCAACAACTGAGACAGGTTGAGCTGCGGGTACTGGAAGGCTACAAAAAGGAAAGAGTTAGGGAAGGAGACACATCGGTAAAAAACGGTCAGAAAGGACACACTGGGTGAGTCACAGGAGGCTGCCTTTCCTATATGATTTAGCACTAAACATGGAAGAAGAAAATGCCAGGCAAGCGTGAAGGTGTGTGGACAGTCAACAGTCTCTGAGCACATTAGTTCCGAGGAGAAAGAGGGCAAAAAGAAATGAAGAACTTGCTCCAGTGACATCGTGGGACACCACTTCCCAGGATCACCCGCACGAAAAGCCATTGCTCCAGAGCCGTGGTCGGAAAACTGCGGCTCACGAGCCACATGCAGCTCTTTGGCCCCTTGAGTGTGGCTCTTCCACAAAATGCCACGGCCTGGGCGAGTCTATTTTGAAGAAGTGGCGTTAGAAGTTGTTTTAAAAAGTTGGCTCTCCAAAGAAATTTCAATCGTTGTACTGTTGATATTTGGCTCTGTTGAAGAATGAGTTTGCCGACCACTGCTCCAGAGCAATGAGTTTTCACACGGTGTTCCTCGGCCCTGGGTTTCCCAGCAGTGACTCAGGGCCAAGCGACCCTCGTGCTGGCTCGTGTGGGGCAGACCAGGCGTACACTTATTATCCAGCATATTACTGTACCCACATCTTCACATGCACAGCTGCTGAAAGTTGCTCGATGTAAATAACGATTATATCCCTGTCTACTGCTTCATTTGACAAGTTATCTTTAGTATTTAATTAACAGTACACTAAATACATGAAGAATCACTAGACCATTTGGCTGCTCCATTTTGGAAAAAAAAAAAAAATTTTTTTTTTTTTTTGGCCTGACTTCAACTCCGGATTCTACTGATTTTTTTTTCATGTTCATTTTTTTGTTTTGTTTTGGAAGTAAATGTCTCTTCCTCCCCCATCCCCCTCCATTTGCACTGTGAATCTAATTGCCAGGAAGAAAAGTTGGTTGGTTTGTTTTTTAAGCATGCACAAAATAAAAAGTCCCTCTTTTTGGGGCCTGGTTTTATGGGCTTTGACAAATGCACAGAGTCATGTAACCACCACCACAATAAAGACATAGAACAATCTCATCACCACCACCACCCTCAACCCCCGCAAAAAAACGCTTCCTGCTAGCCTTTTTGATTTAACTTTCCTCCCACCTCTCGCCCCTGGCGACCAGAGATCTGTTCCCCATCGCTTTTGCAGAATTGGCTTAATCTTTAATAGCACCTCATTTCTCTGAACAGAGAAAAAAAAAATAAGGCCAGGGTGAGGAGGGCTCTGGAGGCCCACCCTGGCTTGATTCTGAGACGTTCCAGTGGTATCTGATTTATGGTCTGGATTTCAGCTAAGCATTTTCATTTGAGCAGAAGCGGGCCACCAACCAAACGCTCACAGCGGCCTCCCGACGCCGCCCGAAGGCGGTACTCACGCTCGGCGATCTGGAGCACCGGGTACCCCAGGTAGAAGCTGAACTCCACCACGCTCAAGTTCCTGAGCAGCTCGCTCACTTGCGTCCCATTCCAGAAGCCCCGCGCGCCTTTCACAGCGAAGACGATGTTCACGGGGCCCCGGCGAGGCGCCAGCCTGGGCGAGCCCACGGTGATATTCAGGATCTGAAAGAGGGAAGTCAGAAGCAGCTTCTGAAATAAAGGAAAACGGCCTGCTGAGCGCCTGACTATGATTTCTCTCTCACAATTTCTCTCATGGATTTCCCCCCCCCCCAAAAAAAAAGAGGGAACATTTTTTAGCCCTAGCCGTGTGGCTCAATTGGTTGGAGCACTGTCCTGTACACCAAAAGGTTACAGGTTCAATTCCTGGTCAAGGCACACACCTAGGCTGTGGGTTCAATCCCCTGTAGGGGGCGTGTACAGGAGGCAACTGAGTGATGTTTCTCTCTCACATCAATGTCTCTCTCTCCCTCTCCTCCCCTCCTACCCCTCCAAATCAATAACCATATCCGTGGATGAGGATTAAAAAAAAAAAGAGGGAACATTTTGAAAGGAAGAGTAACGGGTTTCAACGGCCTGGTTCCCTTTTGCAATACGTTAACTCCTCAGGATACTGACAATGTTTTTCACATTAAGTGATGAACTGAGCACATGCATCTATATAGTCCCCTCCTCTCCCCCTCCCATCCTAGATCCCACAGAAAGAACAATAAAGCTGAACAAAGAAGCGGGAGTCCACAACAGCACTGAGAACGGAAGAAAACCCGAGATTCTGTCAAATTTCTGGGAAATGGAGAGGCTGGGATATGCTGATAGAAACGAGAACGGAGTGACCAGGAACACAGGCTCCACGGCTGGGAGCCAGGAGAACCCAGAGCCTGTTGCCACAATTAATTAAAGGCCCAGTGCCCAGGAGCCCAGTCAATGTCCTTCCTCCTCTTCCCTTTCTAACAGCCACACCCAGGCCAACATAGAGATGCTAACAGCAGCCGCGCCTCCACCAAAATAGCTCAAAGCACTGCCCCCTAAGGACAGTGAGCTCCCCGCCTGAGAAGACCGCCTGAGAAGACCGAGAGATTTTACCAAAGGTTAGATCCCTAAGCAAAGGTGGGCACACAGGAGAGACAATGAAAGAAAAAGCAGCTCTGCCTTGACAAATACAAATACGCTCCATTCCAGGGCACAACTTCCTTATCTTGAACTGGTGACAAGGGTCCCAGGCTGCTGTCTCTGACCACTCAAGTCCCCAGAGAGAAGCCCACCGCCAACAGAGTATGCCCAGTGCCTAGTGCTCTACCGAATCTCCCTTCAGGACACAAGGCTGACACAGAAACAGACCCAATAGCGGAAGGGGAAAGCCAAATAAGCTGCCAAAATTAATCACCTGCTCCTTCATTCCAACACCAACCAACCAATGGTCTCCAGGCATTTACAGAAAACAGATAGCACAAAAGAAAAGAACCAAGACTGACACAGGACAATGGCTGCAAAGAAAATAAAGATAACCTAGCAAACAGAAGACAACTTTATTTAAAATATATATTTGTACTGATATCAGAGAGGAAGGGGGGGAAAGGGAGAGAGGGAAAAAGAGAAGGAGAGAGAGAGAGGAGGGGGAGACACATCAATGATGAGAGAATAATAAATCGGATTGAGCCCACAACTCAGGCTTGTGCCCTGACCAGGAATCAAACCCAAAGGCAACTTTTAAAAAACTCTAATGTTCTCAGAGACTTTCAAGGTGACATTATATCCTCATATGAGGTAATCCTGCATCATTGCAGGAAAGGCTGAAATTTAAATTTTTTTACAAAGGAGCAAAGAACAATGAAAAAAGTGATGGCTAAAAGAAAATTCAATTCAATAGAGATTGAGTAACATAATATGATAAACACAATTGAAGAGTAAATTGATGACCTGGAGGCCAAAGTTTAGAAAATCTGTAAAAATAGGAGATTATAAAAAAAAGATTAAAAATATAAGAAGTATAAAAAGTGAACCCCGGAGAATCAAAATCTACTTACTATGAATTCCAGAAAGAGGACACAAAGAAGATGGAGGAAAAAATATCAAAGAAATATAAAAATATCAGCAGTTTCCATAGAATACATACAAAGCCTGTTCTTTGATTAGTAGCTGGCCTCTCTGTCTTTAAGGGAAGCACTGCCTTCCTGGTATGCCACAATAGGAAACAACAGTTTATTTAGGCATTACCCCCACTGGATATGCTGTAAGTTGACATGGTTCCTTTTTAAAACATTCCTCAATCTTCTGCATATACTCATCTCTCCTCAGCTCAGCATATCTGAGCTCCCTGGTTAAGCTACTCCAAAGCCAAGGAAAGAGATCAGCCCAGATCCACGTGAATGGAATTCCCTCCACTAGAGGGAATTAACAAAAGTTAAGTGCAGCTTCAACCGAACATGAAACTAGCCTCTTTAAAGGCTAAAGCACCTTGTTCTGCATCCGGTGCTGCTCTCACCTGCACCGTGAGGTTATACGTGCTCTGGTGTCTCTTCACTTCGGAGAGCGCGATCATCAGGCCCTTCTCGATGCGCTGGGTGAAACTGCAGAAGCCAGTATCCACACTCGGAGGCACAAACTGAAGGACTGGAAGAAACCACAGGCCCATGAGCAATGCATTTCGTTAGTATCAAGGAGGAAGGAGAGGGAGAAATAGTATCTACATCAACTAGTTCATCTATAAACAGGATTAAGTTCTATGATGCGTTGTTTTTTTTGTTTTTTGTTTTTGGGTTTTTTTTGATGATGCGTTGTTTTTTATGTATGTCATGGAACTGCAGAAAGCCATCTCTGCTACAAATGAAAATATGCAATGTGAAAGTGACGTCATTTTTAAATGAGAAAATACTTCACTGATAGAAACATTTCAAATATATATGAACTAGAGGCCCAGTGCACGAATTCATGTACGGGTGGGGTCCGGCCGGCCAGGCCCCAATCGGGTCAGATCGGGGCTGGGCCTGTCAGGAGATGGTAGGAGGTTGGACGGCTGGTCCACCCCGATTGGGGCCTGATCAGGGCTGGGCTGATGGGGGGAAGGGGCTGTGGGAAATTGGCTAGCAGGCCCTGCCCTATAGGAGTTTGGAGGCCAATTGGGAGTGGGGCCAGCCATGGGGAGGGGCTTTGTGTAGTGGGCCGGTTGGTCCCACCCCTGAATGGGGTAAGAGGTGCCAATTGGGGGGCCAAGAGCCATGGGAAGGGGCCATGGATGGTTGGCCAGCTGGCCCTGCTCCTGATGGGTTGGAGGACCTATCGGGGGCATGGCCAACCAGGAGGAGGGTCTGCAGGAGGCTGGTCACCCAACCCTGCCCCTGCCTCTGTCTGCTTGTCCAATCACCCCTAACCTCTCTGCATGCCTGCCTGATTGCCCCTAACTGCCCTCTCCTGCCAGTCTGATCTTGCCCCCAATTGCCTTCCCCTGCAGGCCTGATATCACCCCCCAACTGCTCTCTCCTGCCAACCTGATCGTCCCTAACCGCCCTCCTCTGCCAGCCTGACCTCAACCCCAACTGCCCTTCCCTGCAGGCCTGATCTCACCCCCGATGGCCATCCCCTGCCAGCCTGAGCCAGCCAGGGTGTGTGGAAAGCTTGGCTTCCTCTATCACCTGGGAAACCCAAGCCTCCCTCCTGCTTTCTCTGTGGCCACAGCCATCTTGGCTGGGTTAATTTGCATATTTGCTCTGATTGGCTATTGGGTGGGGCTAGCGGGTGGGGCTTGTGTATAGCAGAGTTATGGTGAATTTGTATAATGCTTTTATTATATAGGATATATCACAGAATTGTACATATGAAACTTTTATTAACAAATATCACCCCAATAAATTTAATGAAAAAAATAAAATACTGTGAGAGGAGGGGATGTAGATGGGAGTGTGGATGTAACAAGGAGTTGAAAATTGTTGAAAATTGTTGAAACTGTATAAGAGGTGCAAGGGGTTCATTAAACTATTCTGTGTACGGTTGTATATGCTAGAACTTTTCCATAATAATAGTTTTGAAAATTTAAATAAATTTTTAAACATCTTCCCCAAATTAAAAAAAAAAAAAAAAATTAAAAAAGTGAAATTCTATTTACAAGTCAAAACCTTTATGGACAGAGTTCTCACCCGTTTGAACTTGGAACCTGGACTCCGGCACGAGGAAGGAAGGTTTCACAGCCAGGATTAAAGGAGTTTGGTCACGTACAAGTTTACTATTTATAAGCACATTTATGACTGATATTGCCGTGTAAACGAAAGGACCAGATGTTACCAGAAAAGTGAAGTCAGCGAACAGTTCATAAACCTATGAAAATAAAAAAGACAAAAGATAATAATTATCAAATTATCTAACCAAATTACCATCAACTAAATGTACAGGAAATTGTATTGAATAGAAAAATAATAAAGTAATATAAAAAAATAAATAGCTAGTTTTAAGCGAAGGGCTGGTGCTTCGCAGACATTCAAGATTTTATTTTAGTAATTACTTTTGCACATCTGCTATCCTTCTCAAGTAGCACAAACTTACAAGAGCAAGGACGACGAGAAAGAACAGCAAGCAACATGAACTGAGTAAGGAGTTATGGAGAATTCAGAGTGTTTGTTATATTTAAACCACATATAAAGAAATAGTTATGCCGAGACCGGTTTGGCTCAGTGGTAGAGCGTCGGTCTGCAGACTGAAGGGTCCCAGGTTCGATTCCGGTCAAGGGCATGTACATTGGTTGCGGGCACATCCCTGGTGGGGGATGTGCAGGAGGCGGCTGGTTGATGTTTCTCTCTCATAGATGGTTCTAGCTCTCTATCTCTCTCCCTTCCTCTCTGTAAAATATCAATAAAATATTTTTTTTAAAAGAAAGAAAGAAATAGTTATTCTATTGAGCAGTGTTGTCAAAAAGAAATATTTGAGCCCCATTTGCAACTGTAAAGCTTCTAGGAGTCATACAAAAAAAAAAAAAAAAGAGAGAGATGAAATTAATTTTAAAGACATTTTACTTAACTCAAAATATCTTACATATCATTTGAATGTAAATTATGAGTGAGATATTTTACATTCCTTTTTCCACTAAGTCTTTACTAGTAAAATCCCATGATATTTGGCACTGACAGTCCACCTCAATTCAGACAAGCCCCATTTCATTTGCTCGGTAGCCACCTGTGGCTCATGGCTCCCATTGGGAAGGTGAGGGGGGTCTCAGTGTGGTGTCAGAGCTCAAGACGGGGAGAGGAGGCATTAGCACAGTATCCGCCATAAAACACCTGGAAATTCACCTCTGTCTCACTGAATGTACAGAAACACGGATACGCACTCTCTTTAAAATCTAATTTAAACTCTACTCCTAGTCCTTTCATGTAAATCAAGAGAAGCACAACCGTTAGGGTCATCACCCCAAACGCTTGTCTTAGAGCCCTTTTGTTCCAACTCTGCCAAGACAACCCTCTAACGGGGCCAGGATCATCCATTAGAGGGACGCGCTGGCAGAGCTGGGGAAGGAAGGGAAGAGAACGTTCCACGACCCTGTCACGTGCCTTCCCCCGGGCTCCCGCGTCAGAGTCTCCTCGGCAGGGACCCACCTTGAGCTCCACGGCGCGGTTGAAGTGGATTCTCAGCACCTCCTTGATGGACGTGATGATGTACTCCTGCACGGCTCTCCTGGCCAGCACTGCGGATCGAAGCCGACACCCGGACCAGGTTAGTGTCATCACCCTGCTGGGCCCCGGGCAGAGCCTGGGCTGTGCCCACGTGTGGCAGCAGCTCCACAAAAGTCGTTTTGTAAATAAGGCCTCGGCGAAGGAAAACCATAGTGGACCTCGAAGGTACCACCAGGTCACCAGGTCAACCATGCACAGCATCAGCTCCACATGCTAAGAAAACCCTCCACTCCTTGCCTCAGTGGGTGAGACCAGGAATCAGACTCTGTGGCCCAGCCGAGGGCAGAGAGCATGGAGGTCTCATGGTCAATAATACTCGAGTTCCTTCAGCATCTCATAAATGTCCTAACAAAGCGAAGTCATTCAAGGTGCTGTTGTATGACTCTGAATAGGCCCCATGACCCACCACCACATCCTCCAGCTTCTCAAATTAATCAGAGTAAGATCTAAAACTATAACACTGGGATATGAGTTCAATAATCTTTGGGGGGAGGGAAGGATCATCAACAGAGACCTTCTGGTTTCTCCAAATTCCTCAGAGCCGTTAGAGATGAGAAAGCTCCTGAGGAGGCCTGGGGCCAGGCCATCCCTGGGTGAGAAGGGCAGCCTCACCCCCTACCGGATACATGTGGTCAGTGCCTTCCTGCAAGTCCATCATGAATCCATGGAGATTCACTCTTGGTTTTATTACAGAGTTCTCTAGAAAGAACCCTTTCAGAGGACAAAGAATCACCTTAACCCTCTTTTTCTCTGATACGTAATTACAAGAAAACAAACAACCAACCCAAAAACCCAAATCTAAATGAAGATCCTAAATGAGAAGACACCTCCTGTGGGTTACAATGATCACTGAGAGCGGAAGATGGCACTCATCTCCACTTAAAAACACCACGTAACAGTATGGGTACTTTTGCACGTTTACTAAAACGGTTCAAGTGTACATTTACAACGGGTGAATTTTACACTAATAAAAATGCATGCATCCCTGCCCAGCCTGTGTAGTCCAGTGGTTGAGGGTCGACCTATAAACTAGGAGGTCACAGTTTGATTCCCGGGCAGGGGACATACCCAGGTTGTGGGCTCAATCACCTGTGCAGGAGGCAGCTGATCAATAATTCTTTCTCACCATTGATGTTTCTTTCTCTCTCCCTCCCCCCCTCCTCTCTTTGAAGTCAATAAAAACCTTTTTTTTTTTAAATACATGGATCCCTAACAAAAAGACACATCAAACTCATTAAATGTATGTCATATGTGAAAGCTAATCCATGCTACATGTTTTATATTCTTAGCAATATTTCTAAAATGGTTTCTAATTATCTGTAGAATAAGAGATTCTAAAACATACACTAGAAGTATCATAAATTTCATAGAATCCAAGAGATAAATAAGCTTTCAGTAGTTCTTTTAATAAGCTCCTTGTAACTGTCCACTTTGTAGCTACTGTGCAACAATTGTGTACGAAGGAAGGAAAGTTCTTGTCTATTAGAAACTCTTTTCTCTCTCCTCTGGAGGGCTGTAGTCCCAAAAATGGAAGTTCACCACTTCGTCCCGACCTCCTCTCCCGCATTATTACCTCAGTCTAATCGCCAGCCACGCTGAATGTCCTTGGGCTGTCTGACCTCTCCTCCTGTGTTCACACCCTCAACCTGGGGGACACTTTCTTCCGTCTTCAGGTGATAGCCTTTCACTCACCCTTTACTGTGACCTCCAATTCACATTCTTCCAACCCCGTCCCCGATTATCCCAAATAGTCACTCTTCTAGAACTCTGCTTCAGCCATTCTCAACACAGCCGCCAGGAAAACATGACTCAGAGCCGCCCTACTAGACAGACTCCGAGCACCTTGAGGGATGGGACCAAGCCATTCATCTTTATATCCCTGGAAGCTTCTAAAAGTGTTTCACACATTCTCAGTGCTCCATCATTTCTCATCACATGAATTAACAAAGGGTCGCCTCCTTTGGGGAGAGCAGAGTTGGGGGATGGAATGCTTCAGCTACTCCCAGCCCTCTCAGAGGGTGGCAGAACCCTAAGGGTGAGCCGAGGACACAGGGCTCACGTCACTCAGCATGGAGAACCAAAACCCAGCATGTTCTCCTCCTCCCCCACCTCCACCTCTCCTTGCTCCTCCATTCCTTGTCCACTCCACTCCTCCTCTCTCTCCCTTGCCATCTTCTTCCCCTTGGTTCATGTCTACCCCTCGTCCCCATCAAAGTCAACACACACACACACACACACACACACATACACGCTGCTCAACAACAGCACATTGTCTATAAGTACACAGGCATGGCTCAAGCCTTCATGCACGCCCTGCCATTTCTCATGAAGAGCAAGTCAGACAGCCTGATCACTCTCTCTCGGCCCGGTCACCAGACTGGCACAGACATGGCAGCCAACGTACACTGGCTTCATGTAACAGACAGCTGCCTGTCGGCCAGTCACTCAGGTTTGTTTCAAGCATGACTTCTAAGCATGACTTCTAAGCATGGGTGCTGAGTTCCAAAGACACACATCCTAGCAACACTGCTAAGGTTTAAATCTTCTATGTATTCTTATTGCTACTACTAATTAAAATAACATATTTTGTGGATGCTCCGTATGCCAGGCACTGGGTCGAGTATTTTTTTATGCATTACAATGCAGTGGGTGCCAACAGCATCCTTATTGAATCACTGGGGAAACAGAGGCTTAGAGAAGCTAAGTAACTGAAGAACTCACAGGCAGTCAGCAAAGGAGTGAGGATCACTAACCCAGGATCTCTTGTGCCAGGATGCTACCTATCCCATAAGCATTTCCAACAGCTTCTTAGAAAGATCACCCCAACCGAAAGAGACAAGGAAGCAGGGCCTTACCAGTGGTGATCAGATAGGCGTCAGGAACAGTGATATCGCACACGTACGGCGGCCTGGTGGTGACCACTGCGGGCGTGGTAACCACGGCCTCGGGAGTGGAGGCGGACACAGGATGAAGGGATGGCGAGGGCGGGACTGTGCTGCCCCCATGGGGATTCTGACTCTCGGGGATGCTGTTCCGGGTGCCGTCGACAGCATCGTCGAGGGCAGTGCTGGAGGGAGACGTGCTCGGTTCAGTGGTCGTGTTCCCGGGCAAATCTGTGGATGTGGACGATGGGCCCACAAATACAGGCTCCGTGGGTGCAGGCAAGGAGACCACTTCAGAAACAGCTGAGGACGGGGACACGGCGATGACCAATGCTGTGGTGGTAGGAATGGCCTTGGAGAGAGAGGGTGAGACAGACGTGTGAGCACCCACAGCACTGATCTCCCCTTCGGGAGGTGCTGGAGTTGAAAAGAGAGAGGATTCCGTTAACGGGGGCGTCGTCTGAAAAGCAGTCAGAGGTGACGCTGAGGGCGCGCCAGCCGTCGAACTGCCAAGGCCGGGCTCGGAGCTGGAGGGCACCCGTGTGGGGACCGCAGACTCGTGGGGCACGAGTGCAAACTCAAAAGAAGAGGTAGTTTCTGTGAAAACTGAGGTAAAAGGGGCTTCAGAATCGGCCGCTGAGACGGCAGCTGCCTCAGAGGGCGTGAGGGACGTGGAAGAGAAGCTTGAGAGAAGTGACATCTCAGAGGAACCAGGTAGCAAAGTGGATGCACTTGAAAGAAGGTCTGAGCTCGGCCAGAGCGGAGAGAAGTCAAGGTCTGTGGCATCAGGAACAGGGAGCGGAGGTGACTGGGGACGGAAAGAGTCGGACAACGTAAGTGCCTCCACCGAGGTGGGAAAGGCCTGAGGGAGGACGGTGGACAGGTCACTTGACGTCGGAGATGGAGACGCAAGGACTTCTGAAGACCCAGGGGCTGAGGTGCTGGCTTCCAGCGGTGGTGTGGAGACAAAGCTGGATGCAAACCCCAAGATGCTTCCGGCTGCGTGTTGGGGAACGCTGGAGGGCCCTCGGGCAGGGAGCAGTGGGGCCTCCACGGAAGGCTCCAAACCGTAAGACGTGAAAGGAGCTGGGTCTCTGGAAGCAAGCGACGGCGTGTTTCCCTCGGCCGTGACGGAGAAAGACGAGGGGAGGAGCGCGCCGGGGACGGCCGAGGGAAGCACAGCTGTCACGCCGGGCGGCACGGCCTGCGTTTCCACGGCAGAGACAGAGCCGGAGGAGGCGGGATCGAGTGAGGCCGGCCGGGAGGGGCCGTGCGAAGGGTACGCCTGTGTGATCCCCATGCTCCTCACGTCCACCTCGGCCGAGAGACCCAGGCTTGTTTCTGAGATTTCCACAAACCGGGAGGAAAGGGGAACGACTGGTCTCGAGGGGAAAAGCACGTTATATTCTTGAGGATCTTCCTCAAATTCAGAGGAGTCCTCCGTGGTGCTGGTCGGGGGAGAGACGCTGCTTGCGGGAGAGACGCTGCTCGCGTCCCACACGGTCAGGGTCTCGGCGCTGTCCCCCGACCCCCCGTCTCTCTCCGCGAGGCTCGTGGACGGAACGTGCCGGGGGGATGCCGCAGAGCAGGCCCCGCACCACGTGGACGGTCTGGAGGGAGACGCCGGGCTCCAGACAGGAGTGTCGTCCCGATGGCTTGGGACCAGTGAGCTGCCAGGCAATCCGGACGCCTCCCGGGAATTGCCAGGAAGAGCGGGGTCGGGTGACACATCAGCTGACGCAGTGGAAAAGGACACGAACGTAAGAGGACTGGAAAACAAAGCGGAATCTACGCCGGAGCGGCTGCTCAAAGCCAGGGCCGTCGGGGATATGGCTGCCGCTGGAGATGTTCCTGGAGAGATGGTTTCTTCCAGGCTCTGACTCCAAGCAGTGGTCCCATCGGGGTGCCTGTCCGTGCCCGGGGCCAGAACCTCCTCCGGAGGCGCCGAGGCCGCCCCCGAGGCGGGGGATGGCTGAGTGAGGAGGCCATCACCTGTGGGCTGAGGCACCGAAGACGCAGAGCTAAAAAGGAGGGTTTCCGCACCCTCCGTTCCTGAAGCCACGGCCTCCAGCGAAGTCCTGCTTGATGAGGGTCCGTACGGGTCAGTAGGATAAAGCACCAAATTCCTACTCGGGGTTGGAATCATGGCCTCGGAAGTGAGAAACATGGACGGAAAGACACTGCAACGGCCGGGGGCCTCGGCACGCGCGGTGGGTGGCTGCGCTGTGACTTGCCAGGCGGACGTCACCCCTCCCTCTTGGGAAGGAACCGTGGGCAGGGGCGGCGTCAGCACGGAGCCTGCCGTCCCCTGGGGAGGCCCCGGGCGGCCGGCCGTGACGTCCTGCATCGGAGAGACCGCGCGGGAGGCGGCCCACGGAGTCTCTGGCAGAAAGTTATCCATCTCATCGTCCTCGACGACCACCTCATTGCTCGTCACCGACACAGAACTTGCCACGAAGATGCTGTGATCGGCTGAGCTCTGGGTCAGTGTTCCTTGGCTAAAAAAGGCTGCACCAAAAGCAGCAGTGGGTGGGGAGGACAGGAGGCGGAGAGGGCTGCTGGGCCGGGGCGCCGGGGCGGTCTGCGGTAAGGCCACGTGTGCGGTGCTGGGCTCCGCGGAGGGCGAGGACAGGCTGCGCTGCTCCACGGAGCGCTCGTCTGCAAGGCAAACACACGCCGGTCAGCGGCCAGGGCAGTCACACATCCACCCTCTGAGCCGATACCCACTCCCTGGGAGCGCCCGCGACTCACAGGCGTGAGCTAACGGGAAGCCAGAGACCGCCCGCACAGCTGCCAGGGCAGCACCTGCAAATGCTCACACGTTTGAGCTCCAGCTTTACTTAAGCTTGTGTGTGTGCGCGCACACAATGGCATTTTTTCTCTTACTTTCTAATGTCACCACAGAATGCTGGGGCTGGGGGAGGCCTTGGGAAATTGTCTAGCCCAGCGGTCAGCAAACTCATTAGTCAACAGAGACAAATATCAACAGGACGACCATTGAAATTTCCTTGGAGAGCCAAATTTTTTAAACTTAAACTTCTTCTAACGCCACTTCTCTTCAAAAGAGACTCGCCCAGGCCGTGGTTATTTTGTGGAAGAGCCACACTCAAGGGGCCATGTGGCTCTTGAGTCACAGTTTGCCGACCATTGGTCTAGTCCACATGTGTCAAACACAAGGCCCGCGGGCCAAATCCGTCCCGCCAGGCCTTGCAATGTGGCCCGCACCGCGCTGTCATCACTGCACTCCGCTGCGTTTCCATCACAATGACAGTTTATGACTGTTCAGTAAACCAGTCGGCCCGCGATTTAGGCTGGATTTTAGATTTTGGCCCCTTCTCTGATTGAGTTCGACACCCCTAGGACTCTAGTCCATTTTTTAAAAAAATATATTTTATTGATTTTTTTTTTTACAGAGAGGAAGGCAGAGGGCTAGAAACATCAATGAGAGAGATTCATCGATCAGCTGCCTCCTGCACACCCCCCACTGGAGATGTGCCCCCAACCAAGGTACATGCCCTTGACCGGAATCAAACTGGGGACCCTTCAGTCTGCAGGCCGATTGCTCTATCCACTGAGCCAAACCGGTTTGGGCTAGTCCATTCTCTTGAAAGAGAGTTCAGAGGAGGTAACTAAATCAAGTACACGTTCACCTGGACAGGGCGGTGCTGGAATCTGACCGTAAGCCCTCCTTAATGCCAAGCCCACGCTCTTTCTCCTCCCGCGGGCAGGCTCTTGAGAGAAATGAACATGGCAACTCTGACAGCATCCCTCCCTCCCTAGGTAAGAGAGTTCAACAGTTTCCTGGGTAGGGGGCCTTCTACCCCTTCGGCCTTGGACAACCTCCAGGCTCAGCTCTTCCGGCTCCCTGCTCCAGGTTCACGCCTTCCTGACTGTGCTCTGGCCAGATGATCTGCCTGCAATGGCCTGAACCAAATTCTCCCTGGCGCAGCACTTGGTACATTCTTGTCCCTCTGCCTGGAATGCCCTTCCCTGGCTCCACCCCCGGAGGATGCCTCCTAGTCCTGCAGCTGCAGCACAGGCACCACCCTCCTCAAGTAGGGTTAGTACCTCTCCCTGCCTTCTACTGTCACATCCCTTATCGTGCTCCGGGGAAACGACCTGTCTGCTCAGTGAGCTCCATGAGGGCAGGGACAGGTGATCTGTTTCCTTTACATAAAGCACGAGCCAATAAGCATCTGTTACATGAATGAATGAGCGGTCTCTCAGGACCGAGTTCTGATGCGTACCAAAAGCATCTTATCCTCTCACACTTTTGTACCCCCTGCCCTCATGGTAGCTCCCATTATCAGGTAAGCAGTGTACGTGTCTCCACCTCTGATTCAGAGGCGGGACATGCAGTGGCCGAGGCCCCTGACCAAGGCCCAGGGTACAGGGTAGTGTCCACTGCAGCACAGGCTGGGGACTAAGCAGCTATCGGGACTCATGGCCACATCCTCCCCTCACTCATCCAGACAATCTGCCAGAACACAATTACGTGAATCAGTATGGGGATAGTCTTGAATTCGCTCTTTATTTTTCAAGAGTCCATTTTTTCTATTCTATTCCTGGCAGTATGGCAGGCTAGAGATCTCAAAGCCTTCCCACTTCATATAACACTTAATTATGGTTAATAAATCTCCAAAAGCATCCTGTTGTGTAACTAAGTGAGCCTGTAAGACAATAGGGGGCATGGGCTGAGTGCAGGAGCAAAGCAGGAGCTGGACTATGGAAATCATCAAACACTGAAGTCACCAGGGAGCCCAGAGGGACACGAGACCAGACAGCCTAACACAGGCCAGCGACCACCACTTTTTCCATCTCATGGCACACACACTAATTACTAAAATTCTACGGCACACCAAAAAATATCTACTTTTTTGCAGATCTCACCAAACAATAGGTATAATTTTGACTCATTCATATAGGATGGCTATTGGTGTGCTGGCTGTTGTCATTTTTTTATTTGAAAATCTAAGGGAAAAGAGGTCAGGTATTGCAAGTTTTAAAAATTCTTGCAGCACACCAGTTGAAAATCACTGGTTTAGACTATAGGGGAAATGAGGGACATGTGTTGGGTCTGGACAAGTAAAGAACCAAAGGAAGACCATCTCTAAAAAGCAGAGACCCAGGAAGTGCCATAGTCTCAGGGAAAGCATGAATTAGGAAGAAAACAATCCATCCCTAAGAGGACAGCAAGAAAAAGTATCTGTCACAACTAACTTTGTGCAGATATTTTACAAAAAGTCTCCCCAAGTTTGGAACTTATACTATTTGTATGGCCCGAAAAAAGCATGTGCTGAGAGCCCTAGCTGGTTTGGTTCAGTGGATAGAGCATCAGTTCTGAAGGGTTCCGGGTTCGATTCTAGTCAAGAGCACATGCCTGGGTTGCAGGCTCAATCCCCAGCAGGGGATGTGCAGGAGGTAGCTGGTCAATGATTCTCTCTCATCATTGATGTTTCTAACTCTCTCTCCCTCTCCCTTCCCCTCTCTGTTTTTAAATATATTAAAAAAAAAAAAAAAAAAAAGTACATGCTGAGAATCATAAATTAAAATGGACCAGGTCTCCAACACCTATCCAAGCAAACATATAATAAATCATCTCTAGAAAAACACACTCTCAACCTAGGCATCAAAATATTCTGCAACTACTAGTAAATCTCCAACAAATTATTGCAAAATTTAAAATTATAAAACATAAGGCAATAAAGTACTATGGAAAAAGTCAAGAAACCACCCAAAAGAGAAAACAACAACAAACAAATAGTATCAATTCTGTAAAGACTTCAGATATTGAAATTATGAAATATATTTTTTAAAATATCTTACTACATTTAAAAGAATAAAGACAGAACAAAAAAACATGAGTAAGTAGCAAAAGACTATGAAAAGTGGCCAAAAATACTTGGTGGGGTAGGGGTGAGGGGGACAAAGAACATTTAGAAATAAATACATATGTGCCGAAACCGGTTTGGCTCAATGGATAGAGCGTCGGCTTGGGGACTGAAAGGTCCCAGGCTCGATTCCGGTCAAGGGCATGTACCTTGGTTGCGGGCATATCCCCAGTAGGGGGTGTGCAAGAGGCAGCTGATCCATGACTCTCTCTCATCGATGTTTCTAACTCTCTATCTCTCTCCCTTCCTCTCTGTACAAAATCAATAAAATATATATTAAAAAACAAAAAACAAAAAAACAAGAAATAAATATATATGTAATAATTTTTATTTTAAAACTCAATACACAATATATAATAAATAATAAACATCAATTTAGACATGGCTGAACAGAGATTTAGTGAACTGGAGGACAGATCTGAAAATTACTGAGAATGGAGCACAGAGAAATAAAAAATATATATATTTGTGTGTATACACACACACACACACACACACACACACACACGATATCTTTTTTAAAAAGAGGCATGATAGAATAAGATAATCCAATATACATTTGATCAAAGTTTTAAAAAGATGTAATTTGGGTAGAGACAATATTTAAAGAGATAACACTAAGTAAGAATTGTCCAAAATTAATAAGAGACATGAATCCCAGCCAGAAAGACCAAGAAATCCCAAGCAGGGTGAATGTTTTAAAAACCCATCCCTACTCACATGATGATGCCACAGGACACCAAAGAGAAAGAGAAACTGTAAGTGCTGTCAGAGCACAGGAATGGCAGTTGCACCATCAGATACCTACTTCACAGAATGAGGAGCCAAGTGACAGTGAAATAAAATCTTCAAAGTGCTAAGAAAAGCAAATCTGACATCTTAGTTTTGAATAACCAGCAATAATCTCTGTTAAAATAAGGACATTTTCAGAGAAGCAAAAAGTGGTTATACCAACAGAAGACCCTCAGTAGAGAAGTCTGTCTAAACAAGGATGATCCTCAACATCATTGATAAATTCTGCGACTTTAAGCAAAACACTGTTATCAATTTTACCAGAGGCTAATAAATATAAACAAGAGTTAAATTCCTACAGCATCTCACTAACATTATAACAAAACAACATTGAACAAAACAATGTTATTTGAGGACCTGCTATACTTTAAGAGGAAAGGTAATTCCAGAAAGAAGACCTGAGAAGAAGAAATAGAGAATAAATAAACGGTAAAGGCAGTATGGATAAATCTAAACAAATTCTAATGATATAAATGAGCAAATAATTGAATTAAAATAGCTTATTACAATCACACCAAAGCTGGAAAGAGGCAGTAGTAGTATTTTGACTCACTAGCAAAGATGGAAATCAAGAGTGAAAACTGAATAGTTTTTGTGTATATACACTAAAATTTATAAATGATATTTAGTCACACATTTACTAGAGGCTCAAGGCACGAAGATTCTTTTGGTCCCAGGTTCGATTCCAGTCAAGGGCATGTACTTTGGTTGCAGGCATATCCCCAGTGCCGGGTGTGTAGGAGGCAGCTGATCGATGTTTCTCTCTCATCGATGTTTCTGTCTATCTCTCTCCCTTCCTCTCTGTAAAAAAATCAATAAAATATATTAAAAAGAATGGGCTTCCTTCCCCTGGCAGCTGGCACCACCTCCACTAAGGCCAGAGCCACCTTTCTGCCTTCCCACGCTGACCAGAGGCCCAGAACGCAAGCATCCCAGCCACTCAGCACCTTTGTATACAAATTAACCCAGCATCTT